CGGGCGCCTGGGTGGCTCAGATGGTTAAGCATCTGCCTTCGGCTCAGGTCATGATCTCAGGGTCCTGGGATCGAGTCCCGCATCGGGCTTCCTGCTCCTTGGGAGCCTGCTTCTCCCTCTGCCTCTCTCTCTCTGTCTCTCATGAATAAATAAATAAAATCTTTAAAAAAAAAAAAAGAAGTGTATTATGTCTTCAACACAACACAACACAACACAACAATGTAGACTCTTCTCTCAGAGAGTCTATCTCTGAGATAGAACCACAGAACCATCACCCAGATGAGTAGCCCATTTGTCATTTTCATAAGCAGCTGGATTCTTGCCCTTGGATTTCTCAAACTCCTGGATCCCCCACGTGTGGACAAGATAAAACACTACAAATGGTGGCACAATGCCCAGGATGCGTGCCCGAGTGTGGCACTGCACACTGGGGAAGCCGCTGCCTAAGTGTGCGGGAAGGTGCGACGCTTGACGGCCACAAAGCTGGATGTGGCACCATGGTGCATCCGTGTTAGATTCCCAAACTCGTGGCCCAGGGTCGCGGCGGTGCCTCACTCCCACACAGGGGTCACCTCGCCCTCGCCAGTCGTGGGAATCACTGTCCGTCCGAAGGAGTAAGCCTCGGCCATACAATATATCATGGCTCCTGCCTTGCTCTCCTGAATCATCTGCTCTTGGGAAAGCCAGCTGCCATGTTTCAAAGACACTCAAGTAGACTGATGGAGAGGCATACGTGGCAAGAAACTTAGACATCCTGCAAACCAGCACCCACCAGGTGTGTGAACAGCTTTCTTTCTTTCTTTCTTTTTTTAAGATTTTATTTATTTATTTATTTGAGAGAGAGAATGAGAGAGAGAGAGAGGGAGCATGAGAGGGGGGAGGGTCAGAGGGAGAAGCAGACTCCCCGCTGAGCAGGGAGCCCGATGCAGGACTCGATCCCGGGACTCCAGGATCATGACCTGAGCCGAAGGCAGTCGCCCAACCAACTGAGCCACCCAGGCGCCCCTTTCTTTCTTTCTTTCTTTTTTTAAAAGATTTTATTTATTTATTTGAAAGAGAGAGAATGAGAGAGAGAGAGAGAGCACATGAGAGGGGGGAGGGTCAGAGGGAGAAGCAGACTCCCCGCCGAGCAGGGAGCCCGATGCGGGACTCGATCCCGGGACTCCAGGATCATGACCTGAGCCGAAGGCAGTTGCTTAACCAACTGAGCCACCCAGGTGCCCCGTGAGCAGCTTTCTTGAAAGCTGATCCTCCACCCCAGTCAAGCCTTTGGATGACTGAAGCCTCAACCAACATCTTCACTACAACCTCTGAGAGATTTTGAGCCAAAACCACTGAAGAAGCTGCTCCTGAATTCCTAACCCCCAGAAACTGTGTGAGATCTACATGTTTATTGTTGTTCTAAGCCACTGAATTTTGGGGTACTCATTAGATATCAATAAGCCATAACTGACACGGATCCTCAAAACAGCCCTACGAGGGAGGGGCCATCGTGATTACCATTGCACGGAGGGGGAAGCCGAGGCCCAGAGCGCGGGAATCTTGTCCAGGGCACACAGAGAGCGAACGGTGGGACTGAACCAGGCTTGAATGACTGAAGAGTCTACCTGCTGGGATGAAGGATGTCCGAAGTGAATGCTGGCTCTGCCCTTGAAGGGCTGAGGCGAGGACCAGCACTGCTGAAAGAAAATAACTGCCCTCAATCCAAATTTGTGCAGGTAACCTCAGGGCTGAAGGAACCATGATCATCATAAACCGGCAGGGTCACCAGAGGAAAACAAGGCAACAGAAGTGAAAACCAATGAAAACCAGCAGAAACAGATACTCAGAGTTCAGATGGCAATATTATCAGACACAGATTATAAAAGAAAAATGTGTACTGCCCTGAAATAAATAACAAGCTTGAAACTATGGCCAAAGTATAGAAACTTTATCAAGTGACAACAGATCTGAAAACCCAACAGAACTTCTAAAATAAAAAATACAATAACCAAAATAAAAAATTCAAAGTCTTGGTGCGGGGGCGCCTGGGTGGCTCAGTCGATTAAGTGTCTGCCTTCAGCTTGGGTCGTGGTCTGGGGGTCCTGGGATGGAGACCGCGTCGGGCTCCCTGCTTAGCAGGGAGTCTGCTTCTCCCTCTCCCTCTGCCCCTCTCTCTGCTCATGTTCTCTCTCTCTCTCAAATAAAAAAAAAAAAAATCTTCAAAAAAAATCTTCAAAATCTGGGTTAAACCACAGATTAGATGTGGCGAAAGAGGGAATAGTGAGATAGAAATCCAACATCAACCACAGATTCAAGAGACTCTATAGGGGCACCTGGCTGGCTCAGTCTGTAGAGCATGTGACTCTTGATCTCAGGGTCATGAGTTTGAGCCCCACGTTGAGCGTAGAGATTATGTTAAAAAAAGAGAGAGAGAGAGACTCTAAATTTTCACACATAGACACATCATAGTGAAAATGCAAAAAGACAAAGAAAAAATCTTAAAAGCACTCAGAGGAAAAAACCAGCGAGATTACTCTCTAAAGGACAGCAGTACAACGTGGATGAACCTCAAAAACATGATGCTAAATGAAAGAAGCCAGTCACTAAGGAACACATATCGTAAGATTTAATTAATATAGGAATAGGAAAATCTATAGAGACCAAAAGTAGATTAATGCCACGGGGTTGGAGGATACCAGGTGGGGGGTGTCTGCTAATGGGTACAGGGCTTCTCTAGGGGTGATAAAAATGTTCTAAAATTAGATTGTGGTGACCGTTGTATATATAAGTCTGCAAATGTACTAAAAACCATTAAACCGTACACTTTAAATAGGTGCTCTTATAGTATATCAATTATATGTCAATAAGGCTGTTGAAAGAAAAAACAGCAGTTAGACCGACAGGTGGTGATGTTTCAGTAGCAGCCATAGAAGCTGGAAGACGAAGGAGTGCTATTTTCTTTTTTTAAGATTTTATTTATTTATTTGACAGAGAGAGACAGTGAGAGAGGGAACACAAGCAGGGGGAGTGGGAGAGGGAGAAGCAGGCTTCCCGCCGAGCAGGGAGCCCGATGCGGGGCTCGATCCCAGGACCCTGGGATCATGACCTGAGCCGAAGGCAGACACCTAACAACTGAGCCACCCAGGCGCCCCAGGAGTGCTATTTTCAAGGTGAAATGCCAGCTGGATTCTCCCAGTGAAAATGTCTATCAAGGCTGAGCTCTAACTAAGACTTCAAAGACCAAGAAAATTTGTCACCAGAAGTCTCTTCCTACAAGGAGTTTTAAAACAGCGGCTCTCAAACTTGACCTCTTATTATAAATAGCAGAGAGCGTTGTAAATTCCTGATGCCTGGGCCCAGCCCGAGATGCTGAATCAGTTGATCTGAGATGTGGCCTAGGCATCAGGATTTTTAAAAGCTCTACAGATGATTCAAATGTACAGCTCAGGTTGAGAACCTCTGTGTTAAGGGGTGCATTTCAGGCGAAAGGTAAGTGACCCTAGATGAAAAGTCAGAGATTCCTTCATTCGTTTAAGATATAATCCTTGAGGATCTATTATGTTAGGAACTATTCTAGACACCAGGAACACAGCAGTGAGCAAAATAGACAAGAGTCCTGGCCTCTAGAAGAGGGAAACGGACAAAACAACAACAACAACAACAACAAAACAAAACAAAACAAAAAAACAAGATAAATAAGTAAAATATGCCATTAGATTGTAACATATGCTGTAGAAAAAAAAAAATGAAGCCAGGAAGGAGGATATGAAATGCTGGATGTATGTGGGTATGTGAAATTTCAGATACAGTGGACGGGGAAGACTCTAGGGTAAAGACCAAACTAAAGGGAGAGAGCAAGCTATAAGGATATTTGGGTTATGGCATATGCAAAGGCCCTGAGGTGGAGTGTGTCTGCCTTGTTGTAGGACTTAGGAGGCCAATGGGCTTGAGTGGAGGGAGCCAAGTAATCAAGGGAGACCTCACTAAAATGGAGTAGGGAGGCCAGGAAGGGGAGGTCTGACAGGTACCCCTGGAGGTCCCTTACAGGAGGAATTGTCAGTTACACACCCCAACAAAGAGTCCTCAACAGGAAAGTATCAACTACAGGCCCGGACAGGGAAAAATGTGCATTGCATCCCCTACAAGAAATCCACTACTTCTGTAACTCCGCCAATGAGAGCCTGTCATCACCCTGAACTCTTGATTTTCTCCAATGGATTTTGGCTCAAAGCACCCCTCCCAGTTTCCTCCTTCTCAGTAAAATAATGTTCCTTTGCTTTGTTTGTTAGACTTGCCCATGGTTTTTCATAGCTTGAATGTCCCAAATTGCAATTCTTGGCTATTCCTGAATAAACCCATTTTGCTGGGAAAATAACTGGCTGTTTTATATTTTAGGTTTAACAGTAGTCAGAGAAGGAGGAGAGGCAGTTTGCAGGCCGCCGTGGGGAGGACCTTGGCTTTTACTTTGCCATGAGAGTGTTGGGAACTACTGCGAGCGTGTTGAGGAGTGGTTTGATTGACATTCTAGGGACCCTCCGGCAGCAGGTGGAAAATGGACTGCTGGGGCCAAAAGGAGAAGCCGTCAGGTGAGGCCAGAGCTTCCGCTGGTCTTCAGCAAACAGAGCCGAGGATGCGGCTCACCCTCAGGTGTGCTGCGGGGTCCGCGGAGGCTGAGCCGGGGTGGCTCCGCGCTGCGCCCCACCCCAATACCGCCCAATCCCCGCCCCGGCAGCCCCGGCCCCGCCCCCATCCGGGCCCCGCCCCTCCAACCCGGGCCCCGCCCCTTCCCGCGGCGCTGCGGGCGCGGCAGGGCCGGTGAGTGAGGGTCGGGGAGTCTGAGGTCAGCCCAACAGGGGTCACTCCGGTCAAGGTCATTGAGCACCCGGACCGCCGTGATCCGGAGCAGGGCGGGGACCGCCGGGGACTGCGTAGGTGGCAGCCGCCCCTGGGTGGGCCGGGCGGTGTGTGGGGGCGGGGGGTGTCCGGATGTCCCGACAGTCTGCGGCCCCACTTCCGGGGCCTCCACTTTCACTTTCCCTTCCGCTGTAGCTTGCTCTCCTCCCTTCCCCACTGTCTGAGGCCACCCCGGAGGGGAGAGAGTGTGGCTGTAATCCTGGGCGCCAGGGGCGCTCCCAGCAGCGAAAAGTGGGGGGCTAAACAGCGCCCGGCTGTGCGGCGTCACTCTCATCCCCGCCCCAGGCCTGTCCCGTTTCCTCTGTCGCGCGTTGTGGGCTTGGCTCTGTGCCGCCTGCCCTTTCACCTCCCACGCGAGGTCCCGGCCGCTTCCCATACCCGGTCCCGGTGCTTGGGATGTTACCCGGTTGCCGCTGGGGACACCAAGGCACAAAGAGGGCCCGGGCCGCGTTGGAGGCCACCGGTGGGGGCTGAGTTGCTTGTGGTCGTCCGCCCTCTGCCAGGTGACCCAGGGATAGCATTTCTCCGGAGCTGCTGCCCCTGCTCGGGGGGATGGGCGCAACCAAGCCAGATGGACGAGAAGACCAAGAAAGGTGGGCACCCCCTGGAGGCGGCTGGGAAACTTCCGTTAGGAAGTGGGCCCCGGCAGGACCCGGCCTCCCCTCCCCAGAAGGACCCGGGAGAGGGAGCTTTAACAGTGTCCTTCCTCTACCCACCTACCCCTCAGTTTCCTTCTTTGGGGCCTGGTTGCTGCCAGAGGCTTTTCATTCAATTATGGGATGCCCCCGAGGCCACCGTGAGCCAACTCTGCTGCGATGGGGTAGGGAGCTCCTGGAGGGCACAGGAGACCTCGCAGGCTGGTGGGGGAGACAGATCTCAATTGACCTGAATATCAGGGGCCCTTGCCTCCCGTCTTGCTTCCTCCACTCAGCATTGTAGAACATGTCAAGTCATGTCATCACCCTGCTTAAATCCCCCCACCAGGTGCTCCTCTGTGTTCTTAAAACAGAAGCCAGAGCCCTTGGTTAGCCCACAAGGCCCTTTGGGCTTTATTGACTTCATAGTCTTACCCCATTCATCCCCTTGTTCATTCTGATGGAGCTCCACTGGCTTCTCTCTGTTCTCATCTAACCATTTCTTGCTCAAGGCCTTTGCCCTTACCTTTCTCTCCACCTGGTATACTCTTCCCTAACTGGGTCTGGACATATGTAGCTTCTCCTTCTGGTCTCAGCTTCAGCGTCACCTCCTCCTAGAGGCCTTCCCTGATCTTACCCTGTTTATTTCCTTGCCAGCATGGATCACAATCTGAATTTTTTTCTGTTGTCTGTCTCCTTACTGGGCTGGGAGGTCCATGAGGAGAGGGACCCTGTTTATCTTATTCACTGCTGAATTCCAGTTTCTACGGCAGTGGTTGGTACACAGTAGGAGCTCAATAAATGCTTGTCAGATAAGTGAATGGAAGTATGGGGACCTGGGAATATGAAGGAAAAATAGAACCAAATGAACAGGGAGGGGGAATGGGGAGTTTCAGAGAAGGCCCCTCAGACAAAGGGAATTTTAAGCTGGGTACTGAAGGATATATAGGAGTTCACCAGGAAGACAGAGGAAGCACCATGTACAAGGGATCACCACCTCCCTCACCCCCAGCTCCTGAAAGATAAACCCTGTGCTAACCTGCTTCCACTGTGCTGGATTTCAGCTGAGGAGATGGCCCTGAGACTCAGCCGGGCAGTGGCAGGTGGGGATGAAAAGGTGGCAGTGCAGTGTGCCATCTGGCTGGCAGAGCAACGGGTGCCCCTGAGTGTGCGACTAAAGCCCGAGGTCTCCCCAACACAGGACATCAGGTAAGGAGTGCATGGGTGGCCAGACTTAGGGTTTCCCGAACTGCAGCGGACCACAATATATTCTTGCCTATAGAACAGTTATGTTTAGTGGCAGGTTCTGGTGTCAGGGACCTAGGTTCAAACCCAAGCTCTGGCACTAATCAACTGTGAGATCTATGGCAAGTCACTTCACCTCTCGGAGCTTCAGGGTTTTTTAAATTTTTAAAATGGGGCAATAATGGTAAGTTATCTCATAGGGTGGTTAGAAGATGTATTAGAATGTTAGTCCTCATGTAACAGAAAAAACCTAATAACAGTGGCATAAATAAGTTTGACGGCAGGCAGTCTAGATGTGGAGGCTGTGCTTCCTGTAATCCTCAGAGACTCATGCTTCTGTCCTGTTTTTCTGTCATTCATGGACTCCATTCTGAGGTTTGCTTCATCGTCCAAAATGGCTATTCCAGCTCCAGCCATCACATCAGCATTCTTGTCAGCAGTAAGGAGAAAGGTGGCAGTAAGGAGAAAGGTGGCCCCATATTTGGGGGGAGGGCCAAATATGGGGCCACCCAACCAGGTGGGAGCTGGCGGCCCCAGGAGGTGAAAGAATTCACCCTAGGCCGAACAAAGGAGACAGAAGTTTATTGAATACACTGCAGGGGAGCGGTGGGCGGGACAGCAGAACCAACTGTCTTCAATGAGGCTGGGTAGGGGGCTGAGTTAAAGGGCAGAGTAGGGAAGTAGGGGACTGGGAACTGACGGAATTTTCCCTTTATTGGTAACTGTCTGGTGTAAGTAAGCCATTGTGAACTAGGGCTATGCATATTTTGAGGTGGGTCGCTTAATGAGCCTATTTGCATTCAGCTTTGGTGGTTGCTGTGGGCCCTTTTGCCTTGATCAAGTTTCCATTGCTCCAGCTTGTTGCCCCAAAGCGGCCTCTACAGAAGGGAAGAAGGACACCCCCTCCCACACTTAAGAGCACACAGCTCAGAAAGTTGCACACTTTTTCCACTAAGTTCCTGCGGACCAGAACTTATTCTCACAGCCACACTCAGCTTGAAGGGAGGCTGTGAAATGTGACCAGGTATCCAACTAGAATTCAGGGGTTCTGTTAGCAAGAGAAGCAAGGGAGGATGGATACTGTTAGTCTTTCTCCAGGAGACTTAAGCTTGATGTTGTAATGCTTAGCACTGTGCCTCGCACATATCAGTCACTCAATAAATGGCGGGGTTTGTCTTTTTCCTGCTGCTTTTTTGCTGCTGCGTACATAGTAAGACAGTAGTTTCATAGTTGTGATTTTCAGTGATCCTGGTGGATCCCATTTCATTTTTTAATGGTTTCATTGAGATAGAGTTGATGTACCATACAGTTCAATAATTTAAAGTGTATAGTTCGGGCGCCTGGGTGGCTCAGTTGGTTAGGCGACTGCCTTCGGCTCAGGTCATGATCCTAGAGTCCCGGGATCGAGTCCCGCGTGGGGCTCCCTGCTCGGCAGGGAGTCTGCTTCTCCTTCTGACCCTCCTCCCTCTCATGCTCTCTGTCTCTCATTCTCTCTCTCTCAAATAAATAAAAATAAAATCTTTAAAGTGTATAGTTCAAGGCTTTTAGTATATTCAGAGTTGTGCAACCATCACCACAATCAATTATAGAACTTTTTTTTTTTTAAGATTTTATTTATTTATTTGAGAGCGAGAGCAGGAGCAGGGGGAGGGGCAGAGGGAGAGGGAGAAGCAGACTCCATGCTGAGCAGAGAGCCCGATGCGGGGCTCGATCCCAGGACCCTGGGATCATGACCTGAGCTGAAGGCAGACGCTTAACCGACTGAGCCACCCAGGCGCCCCACTTATAGACCGTTTTTATCACCCCCTGCAGAACCCAGGTCTGTGCTTATTAGTAGTCACTCCTCATCTCCCTGCCTTTCCGCAACCGCAGCCTTAGGCAGCCACTAATCTACTTATCTCCAGGGTTGTGCCTAGTCTGGATATTTCATATAAATGGAATCATACAACATGTGGCCTTTTGTGTCTGGCTTCTTTCACTTAGCATAATGTTTTCTCAATTCATCCGTGTTGTAGCATGTATCAGAACTTTATTCCTTTTATTTTTGTTTATTTATTGTTATTTTTTTAAGTAGGCTCCCCTAAACGTGGAGCCCAGTGCAGGGCTTGAACTCACGACCCTGAGATCAAGAGTCGGATGCTTACCGACTAAGCCACCCAGGTGCCCCAGAACTTCATTTCTTTTTGTTGCTGAATAATAATCCACTGTATGGATATACCATATTTTCTCTATCTATTAATCATTTGATGGACATTTGATTTTTTTCCACTTTTCAGCTAATACGAGTAATGCTGCTGCCGGGAACATTTGTGTCCACCGTTTACATGGACATTTTTTTTCCCCCAGTTTTACTGAGATATCGCTGACATATAACATTGTATTAGTTTAAGGGGATGTGATACTGTGATTTATAATAAGGAATACATATTTGGTCTTTGTCCTTTCCTTGGAACTTTGTAAGTGATGAGAATGTGAGGTGCCTTTCGTTATGTGAATGAGGTGACTTTTGGAATGTCCCCAGATCACCTAAGAATAGGGGCTAGTCACCAGAGCAACCAACCCCGGTGATTAGCGGGTTGGAACTTTCAGTCCCATCCCTCTGACCTCTTGGGAGGGGACAGGGGCTGAGGTTGCATCAGTCCCCAGTGGCAGTGGTTTAACCAATCATGCCTATGTAATGAAATCTTCATAAAAACTGAAAAGGACAGGGTTCAGAGAGCTCCTGGGTTGATGAACACATGGAGATTTGGGGGGAACGGTACAGTCCAAGAGGGTATGGAAGCTCCTCACCCCTTCCCATATACCTCGCCCTGTGTGTCTCTTCCATCTGGCTGTTCCTGAATTATATCCTTTTATAATAAACCAGTGATCTAGTAAGTGAAATGTTCGAGTTCTAGGAAGTGCTCTAGCAAATTAATTGAACCCGAGGAGTGGGCTGTTGGAACCCCCAACTCTATAGCTGATGGGACAGCGCAGCTGACAACCCGGGCTTGTGATTGGCATGGGGGGAGGGGCAGGCTCATCGGGCTGAGCCCTCAACCTGTGGACGCAGCTGCTGTCTCTGGGCGGATGGGATCAGAATTGAGTTGCAATGTAGGACGCCCTACTGGTGCCCGAGAATCGCTGGGGGCTGTGTGAGGAGCTCCCCTCCTCCCGTCCACACGTTGGAAGTGGAGGCTCAGAATCATTTTAGATGGACGCCATAATGATTTGGTACGTGTGTATCGTGCAGTGATGACCACAATAAGTTAACGTCCATTGCCTCACATACTTACAGATTATTATTATTTTTAAGTAATCTCTGCACCCAACATGGGTCTTCAACTCACCACCCCAAGATCAAGAGTCACATGTTCTAGGGGCGCCTGGGTGGCTCAGTCTGCCTTTGGCTCAGGTCATGATCTCAGGCGGGCTCCTTGCTCGGCGGGGAGCCTGCTTCTCCCTCTCCCTCTGCCTGCCGCTCCCCCTGCTTGCGCTCTCTCTCTGTCAAATAAATAAAGAAAGTCTTAAAAAAAAAAAAAGAGTTACATGCTCTACTGACTGAGCCAGCCAGGCACCCCTATTTTTTCTTGTGATAAGAGGTTTTAAGACTTATTCTCAACAATATTTAGATATACAACACAGTATTGTTAACTACAGTCACCGTGCTGTACATTACCTCCCTGTGGCTTGTTTATGAACTTGGATTCATTATCACACCTAACAATAATTAAGGAATTATTAGTAATAATTCCTTAAAATCCTCTAATACTGTTTATATTAAAATTTCCCTGATTATCTCACTAACAATTTTTATAGTAGGTTTGTTCCCGACAGGAGCCAAAGGAGATCTACACGTAACGTTTCTTTCTTCTTTTTTTTTTTTAAAGATTTTATTTATTTATTTGACAGAGAGAGACACAGCGAGAGAGGGAACACAGGCAGGGGGAGTGGCAGAGGGAGAAGCAGGCTTCCCGCCGAGCAGGGAGCTCGATGCAGGGCTCGATCCCAGGACCCTGGGACCATGACCTGAGCCGAAGGCAGACGCTTAACGACAGCCACCCAGGCACCCCTACGTAACATTTCTTTTTACTTTTTTTTTTTTAAAGATTTTATTTATTTATTTGAGAGAGAGAATGAGAGGGAGAGAGAGAGAGAGAGCATGAGAGGGGGAGGGTCAGAGGGAGAAGCAGACTCCCTGCCAAGCAGAGAGCCCGACGCGGGACTCGATCCCGGGTCTCCAGGATCATGACCTGAGCCGAAGGCAGTCGCTTAACCAACTGAGCCACCCAGGCGCCCCCTACGTAACATTTCTTAATATCGTCCTTTTTATTCTCCCTCTCTTTTTATGCCATTAATTTAAGAAACCGGGTCTTGGACTTCCAGAATTTTCCCACATTCTGGATTTCTTAATTGCTGTCTCAGCCTGTCATTTCGGATCTCCAGTTTTTCTTGTGAACTTGTAGTTGGAGCTGAAGGTTAGGTTAGTCAGGAGTCACGTTGTACATTTCTAGGAGCTTGTCCTCATTTGTTGATTGTTCCTTGCTCTTCTTGTTCTGCATTCTGATTTTTCTGTTTCCTTTGGGATCAGTTCTGTTTTGTTTTGTTTTTGTTCTTGTTTTTTATCTCAGCCCTTCCTTTTCATGCTTTTAATCTTCCAGAAACGTTGAAGGGTCCTTGAGAAGGCTGGTGTTTGTCTGGAATGACACCGGCTTGGAATCCTGCGTCTCACAGTCATTCAGTGCTTACTCAGTAGAGTCAGTGTGACCTGGCTGTGCCTCGGGCTTTTACCCATAAAGCAGCGGTGACCGCAGTAGCTGCCTCATGGGTTCGTGGAGAGCATTAAATGAGCTAAAACCTATGACGTGCTTTGACGTGTCTTGGCATATAGTACATAACAACTGTTGGTGGCTTGGCTAAGGACCAAAGGACAGAATGAGAGGAGGCTGCAGAGCGGGGAGGGGCCGATCGCAGAGGCCTTGGTGTGCCACGGTGAGCGTGGATCTGATTCTCAGAGCAGTGCCAAGCCGTTGCAGGGGCTTACGCGGTGGGTTCTGATCAAGAAGGAAGCCCAGTGCTGTGGGAATCCAGGAAAGGCCTCTACCCCGGGGGGGGGCGGGGTGTGGGCGTGTGCCTTTGGGTCTGTACACATGCATACGCGTGCACAAGTGTGCAGACACGTCCGTGCCAATAGCTGGTGGCCGGGGTTGGACCTGTGACCTTCTCCGCAGGCTGTGGGTGAGCGTGGAGGATGCTCAGATGTACACGGTCAGCATCTGGCTCACCGTGCGCCCTGACATGACCGTGGCTTCCCTCAAGGACATGGTGAGTTGGCAGGGGTGGGGCCACACTAAAGGGAAACATCAGGGCACATGCTTCCCATTTTGCTTCTACCTCTCTTTACTCTGATCCTCCCTTTTCACTCTCCTGCTCTCCGTACCCCGTCCCCCCCGCCCCCAGGTATTCCTGGACTACGGCTTTCCGCCCGTCCTGCAGCAGTGGGTGATTGGGCAGCGGCTGGCCCGGGACCAAGAGACCCTGCACTCCCACGGGGTGCGGCGGAATGGGGACAGTGCCTACCTCTATCTGCTGTCAGCCTGCAACACCTCACTGAACCCTCAGGAGCTGCAGCGGGAGAGGCAGCTGCGGATGCTGGAAGGTAAGGCTCTGAGCGCCATGGGACTCACCTGAGATCGCAGGGTGAGAGGGAGCAGAGCCCGTGGCTTTTGGTCAGGAGCTGTCACCAGGAGGACCTTATCCATAGTGGGGAAGAGAGGACAAAGGGCACCCCGGAGGGAGCCATTTCAGAGCCATTCTGAGAGCAGCTGGTCTGGGGGAGGAGGGGGGCTGAGTTCAGTCCTGGCTCCGGCATTCATCAGCTGGACGACGTCGGGCACGTCCCTTCCAGTCTCTGTTCCTCGGTTTCTAAATCTGTACATTGGATATGATGATGACAATAATAGCGTTTATTCTAAATTTTTTGCTTATCATCTGAAAGTATTTCAGACTTATAGAAAAGTTGCAACATTGTACAAAGAATTGTATAACAAATTCCCAAGTACCTTTCATGTGGATTCCCCAAAATACTAACACTTCACCACAATTACTTTGCTTTGTCATTCTCTCTATATAATTATTTATATATGTCTAAATAATTTTTTTCTGAACTGTTGTGAAGTTGCAGACATGATGTCCCTCTTGCCTAAATACTTCAGTGTTCATGTTTTTGGAAAAGGGGTCATTTTCTTACATGTGGTAAACATACAACTACCAAATTTAGGAAATTAACAATGATGAAATACTATTATCTAATCCACAGATGTTACCCAGATTTTACCAGTTGTTGCACGAATGTCCTTTGTGGCCAGACACCTGGCAGTGGCCTCATGTCTCTCGGGGTCTTTCAATCTTTGGTGTCCTCAGTCTTACTTTGACTTTCCTGATATTTGAAGAGTCCGGCCAGTTTTGTTTTTTTGGGTTTTTTTTCTGTCCGATATCCCCTCGTGAATGGATGCAGATTCAGTATTTGTCAGGAGCATCTCAGAAGTGATTGGGCCTCTAGGTGTATGACATAAGGAGCATAGGAGGCCGGTTTTTAGGCCCGGGTTTTTAAGCGGGGGCTCGCAGGAGCACTCACGCGTGGAGGAGGGCCCCTGACCCTGTAGGAGCCGGACATTCAGCCAGGTCTAGGCTCACCTGGGGAACCGAGCTGGAGACTCCCCCAGGGAGGAGGGAGCGGTGCGGGGGGCGTGGAGGGGCCGCAGGGCGCCTGGCTGGCTCAGAGTGTGCACGAAGTGGGCTGCTGGATCTGCCACCCCCTAAACCCTCCTCCCTAGATCTGGGCTTCAAGGACCTCACGCTGCAGCCCCGGGGCCCCCTGGAGCCTGGCCCCACGAAGCCCGGAGTCCCCCAGGAGGCGGGGCGGGGCCAGCCCGACGCCACGCCCGAACCCCCGCCGGTAAGCCGCTCCCGCCTCCGCGTGCTGGTGACCGCGCGCCCCACCCCCGACTCCGCCTCCGCGCTCCCGGGCCCCGCCCCCGCCCGACTCCCCGCGCCGTGCTCAACCCCCACTCCCCGACTCTGCTCCCAGGTGGGCTGGCAGTGCCCCGGCTGCACCTTCATTAACAAGCCCACGAGACCCGGCTGCGAGATGTGCTGCCGGGCGCGGCCTGAGGCCTACCAGGTCCCTGCCTCGTACCAGCCCGACGAGGAGGAGAGAGCGCGCCTGGCGGGCGAGGAGGAGGCGCTGCGCCAGTACCAGCAGGTGGGCGCGGAAGTCCCGGGACAAACACGCGCAGACCGGGCGGGGAGGCGTAGGACTGGAAGGGAGGCACCTCCGCATTGCCGCTCCTTCCGCGTTGCCGCCTTGCCCCCTCCTGAGCCCACCGCTGGTGCTGACTCTGCACTTGACTGTGACTCGCCCTCTCCTGGAGGTCTTAGGTGCTGAGACCCTGCTCCCTGGCTGTGATCACATGCCCCGCCCCCACTGGGGCTGTGGCTCCGCCCCTAGCTTTGACTCCCACACCCACTGTGCGGACAACTCCCCTGGCTGTGACTCCGGTACCCTAGCTCTGACCGTGCTTTTGTCCACCTCCTCCTTATCCGCCTGTGACCTAGCTCCTGCTCCACTCAGACGTCACCTTACCCTGGACCCTACTATTCCTGACCCCCTCCCTCCCTGTTGTGATTCATCCCTGACTTCCTATGAGCCTGGACCCAGCCTTTCACCTCTCCCTGCGAGGTTGACCCCGCCCTCTGTCCTGCCCCTCCCATAGCTCTGTCCCCCCATCCTGACACAAGCTCTGATTACACAGATACCAGATCCTGAGTGTTCCCCATTCTGATCGGATGCCCCCCAACCCTCACCTGCATTCCCCTGGGATCCAGTGCTGTCCTTGCCCCGCCCCAGCCATGACCTCATTTGTGGTCTTACCTAGTCTTGGCCCAGACCCCGTCCTCTCCCGTCTTGCCTTGCTCCCTAGCTTTATCACCACCTCCATACCCCTGACCCACTCTGTGACCTTGACCGGCTCCGACCCCACCCCCTGCCCAGCCGTGCCCTGCTTCTTGGCAGGGATGTGAGCCCTGTTATCCCAGACTACCCCCTCAGACCTTTAACCCCCTTCCTTTCCCTACCGCCATCACTCCCTCGCGTGGCTTGACCCCCGGTTGCAGCCCCGACCTGCCCCAGCCTGGCCCGCCTCCCGCCCGTGGCTTCCCCTCTCGCCTCCTGGCCTCGCGCTGGCCCCACCCTTCCCAGCATCTCGTCTCCTGCCTACGGCCAGGCCACCCCACCCCCGCCCCCACCCCCCCCAGGGATCCTGACTCTCCGCCAGCTTTGCCCCGCCTCCGGGGTCTGGCCTGGTCCCGCCCCCTTCGTGGTCTGCCCCTCCCCTGAGACCCTGACCCGCCCCGCGGCCCCGCCCCGTGTGCCCAGCGGAAGCAGCAGCAGCAGGAGGGGAACTACCTGCAGCACGTCCAGCTGGATCAGAGGAGCCTGGTGCTGAACACCGAGCCCACCGAGTGCCCCGTGTGCTACTTGGTGCTGGCGCCCGGCGATGCCGTGGTGCTGCGTGAGTGTCTGCACGCCTTCTGCAGGTGCGGCCCCCGCCCCCACCCCAGCAGGGCCGCGTGTCTCGCAGCCGCCAGTTACCGGAGGGCTGAGGGGGGGGGGGCCGTGCGCTTACATCTCATTGGATGCCCGCAAAAACCTGCGAGTAGGCGCCGTCGCCGCGTTTTGCCAAGGAGGCGTGGGAGGTGCAGAGAGGCCTGCCGCCTCCTCGCGGCCACACTGCTCAGGCATTCTGGTTCCGGCCCTCAAGCCGCCGTGCGCGCGGGCCCCTCCGAGGGCATTGAGGCCCAGTCCCTGGCAGCCTGAGCCGAGCCCGCTCGCTGCCTGGCTGGTGGGCAGGCTGCCAGCCCTGGGCTCTGGAAACGGGGTCCTCCTTCATCACAGCAGGTGTTTCTTGAGTGGCCCCTGGGTGCCAGGGACCAGGCTAGGCCTAGGGATCCAGGGGTGAACACAAAAGCTGTTCCTGCCTCCTGGAGCTTACCTTGCAGTGGAGAGGCTGCTGGTAATCAAATCATGACTCGTATAATTGTAAATTGTGTCAGATCTAAGTCCCGGTGAATTATGAGGAAAGAAAACCCAGGGGCTCTGCTTCAGGAGGGGGTCAGGGAAGCCCCACAGAAGGTAGCACTTGGAACAGAGACCAGAAGGTCTGGTGCAGGGGTGTGCCTGGCCCATCTGCGGCAAGCAGGGGTCGGTGTGGCCAGAGCAGAGGGATGGACAGAGAGGTGTTAGGGAGGACCTGTCCCTGGGGTTCTTGTGAGCCGTAGTGAGGGGTGCAGGTTTGTTCTGGGCAGGTCGGGGTGGGAGGCTGCTGGGGACAGGTGGACACAGGGATCCCAGTGAAAGTGATGGGGGCCTAGACCAGAGCAGTGGGGGTAGTGGCGGGGTAGACAGAGGTGGAGGCCTTGCTGATGGCTTTGTGGGAGGGATAGGAAGGTAGGTACTGAGGAAAAGCCTCCCTGGGGTCAGGCCTCACCACGTGAGGAGTCAGATGGGCTTCAGATGACCCTAACCTCCACCCCTCACCCCACTCCCCCTCCAGGGAGTGTCTGCAGGGCACCATCCGCAACAGCCAGGAGGCCGAGGTCTCCTGCCCCTTCATTGACAACACCTACTCGTGCTCAGGCAAGCTGCTGGAGAGAGAGATCCGGGCGGTAAGGCCTGGGAGCGGGGGAGGGAGGGGCACGCCCTGAGCCGGCACATCTCAGACAGCACACATTTATCCAGACCCTTCCGCGTGGGATGCCGGGGGCCAAGCAGTGAAGAGGTCGGGACTTGGGGCATGTAGCTGGTAAAGAAACCACCGTAGTGAAGAAAAGACAGCAGAGGCGTTAGGAGTGGGGAAACTGGGCCCATTGGCCCCGGTGACCCCAAGTCAGATACTCAACCCATGCCTTGCTTTTCTCATCTCAGTGAGGGTCGAAGTTAGTTTCTTCAAAGGCTGTGAAGAATATAGGAGAAGAGTGTGTGTAAAGATTCTAGAATAGTGCTTGACACACGGTGGGTGAGCCCTTGTATCAGTTTGCTTTTGCTGCGTAACAAGTTTTCCAGACATAGTGTCTTCAGACAACACTGTTTATTTAGTTCATGAATCTGCAAGTTAGTCATTGGGGTTGGGCTTAGCCAGACAATTCTTGTAGCTCCTGATTTTTCTAGCTCCTGCTGGGCCTGGCCGGCCTCAGGTGGGTTTAGCTGGTGGGTCAGCTGTCCTGGACTGATTCAGGATGGTCTTACCTGCAGTGGTGGGCGGGGCGGGGGGGGGGGTGTGGTGGGCGGCTGGGCCTCTTTCCACTTTGCTCTCTGGCTGGGTCAAGCAGGCCAGGCCTGCTCCCGGGCCGATGGTCCTCAGGTTCCAAGAGCAGCCAGCAGGGGGCTTCAGTGCAGGAGTACCTCCTCTCTTCCTTCCCTCGCTGCCCTCCCACTGAGCATGCTCAAGCCCAGAGTCCCTGTGAGAGGGGACCACCCAAGGGTGTGGCGTCAGGGAGACATGAATAAATGGGGCCATCCCTCCAGCAGTCCATTCCAGTGCTGTAGGCGTCCAGGCGTGCGCATTCACTGTTATTATTATCAGTATTATTTCCAAGTTCTCACCCTTCTGTGAGTCTCCATTTCCCCACCTGGAAAATTGACTGTTGGGCTTCATTCATGGTTTTTAAACTGTGGGGAAGGGCCTTCTCAGAAATGGGCATCTTGGGATTCCCAGGCCAAAACATGAGGCAGGGTCAAAGGTGGCTGAGGTCCACATGGGAGACCCCACAGGCACATCCCCAAGACCTCTGTTCCTCCTGCCTCTCCCTTAGGATCCTGCTTCTGTGAACCTCCTTGACTGCTCCTAGTATTTCCTGGAGCCCAGGGGGTCTACCTCAGCTGAAAAGGGCGGGGGGGTGCAGAAAGGGTAGAGCTTGGGGAACTTCACCTACACCAAGAACAGCCCCTTTTATCTGTTGTCTGTGGGGCATCAGGGAAGGGCGGCTCCAGGGGGTTGCTAAGGCCTTCTCACTGCGGCCTGGAAAGCTCCCAGACATGGAGTCAGTCATTCCATCTGGCACCCATGGTGATTACCCAGAGGTTTTTCCTTGAGGTCCATCCCTACCAAGGGCATTGTGATGGGACCAGAGTTCCTGCCAAGGGGCTGCAGGGCCCATGCTTCCCCAGAGCCCTTAGGGGTTGACCCAAGACTCAGAGAAGGTCAGGTGTGGCAGAGGGAGAAGGGGGCAGGGATCAGCAGAGTAATGCAGTGGAGCTTATCTTTACAAAACACATGCCTAAACCACATAGAACTGGAATCAAAGAGAAAAGTCACCCACAACCCTGCCATCCCAGGGAATCCCTGACTGCATTTTCCTGTTTCCCTTGGTGTCTGTGGGCAGACGTGACTTTATTCCTTTTTAAATCAAGTTTGCTAAGGGAAACTTGGCATGCAGTAAAATGCACCCTTATAAGCATGCGGTTGGGTGAGTTTTGGCAAATACAACTCTTGTAACCACCACCCAATTCAGATATAGAAAGTAGGCATGATTTTTTCTTCATTGTTACCAGCATGGATACAACAACTTTTGCTCTTTTGCCATAGAATTTTTCTAAGGATTATCATAAATCTTATGGCATCTATCGTGCTTATACCTCTTCTTGTAATAATTCCCGTTCCTCAGTTTGTAATGAATGCTTCAAGGAATGTTTTGCGTGGTGTCTCTTCTTATGTATTATATGCTTAGGATAAACTCGTGGAAGTGGAGTGAGTCCCAATGGGTCAGAGAAATTTTGTTGAAATACAGCTGCCACGTTGCTTTCTCAGAGTGTGATGTACCGGAATACTGGTTTAACCACATCTTCCCCAGCACTGCCAGTTATTATTTTTGTTCATTTTTTCCTTAAATGTACACATGACAAAATTTACCATTTTTCTTTTTTTTTCATTTTCACTACTTCTAAGTGTACGGTGGCATTAGGTACACTGACATTGTTGTGCAACCATCACCACCATCCATCTCTAGAACTTTTAATCCACTTTTGAGTGGAGTTTTTAAACACCGAGGGTGGTGCGAAGTAAAGAGCCGGAGCTAGGCTGGCCTTTATGGAGGATATGTGGGGGCAGGGAGGGCCCTCATCGGCTGTTCTGAACCCCGAGCAAACCGGGTTGGGGCCTTTTGGCAGCTGCTGCCCCCCGAGGATTACCAGCGGTTTCTGGACCTGGGTGTCTCCATCGCGGAAAACCGCAGCGCCTTCAGCTACCACTGCAAGACCCCGGACTGCAAGGGATGGTGCTTCTTTGAGGATGATGTCAACGAGTTTACCTGCCCGGTGTGCTTCCACGTCAACTGCCTGCTCTGTAAGGTGGGGACAGGGACCCGTGCTGTCCATCTCCCTCGTCCTGCCAGGAGCTCACTGCAGTTCAGTGCCTGTTCTCCTGGGAAAGGAGCTGTGACACTAGCCTGTCAGGACAGATAGCTGCATGTCCGTGATGGGGCCTGGCCTGGGCCCCATACTGAGTCTAAGCCTTGGACCAAGCCCTGGCCCTTGATGGAACCTCAACCTAGACTGAGCCTCGGCCCAGTACTGAGCCCTGACCCTGGCCTCTAACTGAACCCCAGTCCCAGTCACAGGCCGAGCTCAACCCTGGCCCCAGATGGAGTCTTGCCGGACCCTGACCTCAGGCCGCTCCCTCCCCTCATCCTCTCAGCACTTGACCACTGAAGAGACTGGTCTCGGGCGAGTAGACAGGTCCGCGCCCGGTCACAGCCTAAGTGAGCTCAGTCTTGGAGCATTGGGCCTGTGATTGGGGCAGAGTCTAGCCAGGGACGGAGGGGCTGCAGTCGTGGGGAGAGGGGGTGTAGGGATTTCTCTGCCCTCAGGACTCAGCATACGTGGGTGGTATTATCATCATATGGGACAACCCTGGCCTTCCCTCCCTGGCCTCCTTGTCCCCTTCCCTAAAATAGGTGCTTGGTTTATAAAGCGAGGCCCTGTCCATGACCTCATCTAGAGACATTCAGTGCCCCTCACGTCTCTCAGCCTCTTAACCCCTCGAGGAACCTTCTCACCTCGAGCCCCTCACCCCGCCTCAGGCCATCCACGAGCAGATGAACTGCAAGGAGTACCAGGATGACCTGGCCCTGCGGGCTCAGAACGACGTGGCCGCCCGGCAGACAACGGAGATGCTCAGGGTGAGGCAGGGTCGGGGCTGAGGGCCTGGAGATTGGAGCTCTGGGAGCTCTCTGCAGGTGGGGGGCTTCTCAGAGAGGGCTGTGGTTCAGGCAGCCCTGAACGCTGTCACCCCGTTCTCGTGTCATCGCCATCCAGAGATGGGAGCTAGTTAGGACAAGTGGGCGGGTGGCGAGCAGTTAGGAAGAGCGAGGCCTGGTGGAGGCGCGGAGGAGAGTGAGCCCGCGACTCCAGAGGGGAGAGCCGGCTTCCCTCTGCAGGGGGTGGGGGCCCGGGGGCGGGCGCTGAAGCCCCCCCGCCCCCGCCCCAGTCGATGCTGCAGCAGGGCGAGGCCATGCACTGCCCGCAGTGCCGGATCGTGGTGCAGAAGAAGGACGGCTGTGACTGGATCCGCTGCACTGTGTGCCACACGGAAATCTGCTGGGTCACCAAGGGCCCGCGCTGGGGACCCGGGGTGAGTCCTCTGGAGAGCAGAGGCTTGGGGGTGCTACGGGGAGGTGCCCCGGCGGCCTTGCCAGAGAACGGGGGACAGCCCCTGGGCCGAGATCCGGCCACCGCCTGTATTCGTCTAGCTGGTAAAGTAAGAACGTTTTTTACATTTTTTAAATGTTTGAAAAATACCAAGAACAGGAGACTGTCTTGTGAGCTGTGAAAGTGGTACGAAATCCAAGTGTCCTGTCCCTAAGTAGCGTGTTCTGCGAGCACAGCCCGGTACATCCGTTGTGTCCTGTCTGCGGCCGCATTCGGCCCACGAAGGCCGAGACCATATGGCCCCAGAAGCCTGAAGGAACCGGCCCTTTACGGAAAAAGGTGGCCGACCGACCCCCACCCCCACCCCCACCCCCCCGCCCAGGGCAGCGATGAGGAGTCGGTCTGGGGTCAGAGGCGAGCGGGTCGCCGGCGGGTGCACCGTGGCCGTGGGGTTAGGCTGCTCATCTGTAACGTGGGGACACTGGCCGAGACGGTGGCAGGGCCTCTCCCGCCTTCTCCTGAGTCAGCTGAAACCGTGCAAGGGAGGTGCTCCGCGGGCTGTCTGGGGTGAGCGCTGCACGGAAGGCGGCCGTCTTTGTTAGGAGTCTGTCCCTGGAGACGGGGGCTCGTCCTTCCGTCCAGGTGGACACCAGGACAGACGGAGGCAGAGGGAGCCACCCTGTCTCCGGGGCCCGGGTGCGGGGCCCACCCAGGATATGCAAAGATCCGTCACATCCTTTGCCTGCTCTGGGTCCAGGGGAGCGTAGACTGAGACCATGTAATTGGGGGTGCTATGGGAGCCCAGAAAGGTCTTACTGACTGCCTCCATCAGGTAGCTGAGGCCGAGGGGGCCGTTCGTAGCAGGAGGACCGGCCCGAGCAAAGGCCCAGAGTGGGGGCGTGCAGCGCTTTGAGGGTGTGCTGGAGGGAGGGCACTGTCTTCGCTGTCATGACCTTCTCTCCTCCCCATCCTCCAGGGCCCAGGAGACACCAGTGGGGGCTGCCGTTGCCGGGTGAATGGGATTCCTTGTCACCCCAGCTGTCAGAACTGCCACTAGCTGAGGATGGCCTGGTCCCCACGCTGACAGCCCCACATCCCCATGCTGCTGTGGGACAGGGCTGGTGCTTTGGCTCTGGTTTCTCCCCCGGGAGATGCCTTTGCGTGTGGCTGAGACAGGCCTTGTAGAGACCAAGGCCCCCGAGCTGTGCGGATGGCTTTGTTTTCAAGTGGTGTTGCAGGGGGCCCTAAGCTTGCGGTCGGTGTTGTTCATGGTTGCATCTGCCCCAGGGCCTTTGCCCTTCCTCTGGGGCTTGCCGGCCAGACCTCTCAGCTCTTCTCTGCGGCCCTTCCCTCTGCCTGACCCAGACTTAAACACAGCCCTGCTGGATGGAGCCTCTGAGAGCCCCGTGTGAGTCCATGCTCTCCCCCTTCCACCGCCCTCGTCTGCTGAATGCTGAGCACCCAGAGCCCACCGCTTCTCCATCGGCTCTCTGGGGCTGACTCACCTCTGTCTTTGCTGTCGGAGGCCTGCGGTTTGTTAGACAGCTGCTGCTAAGCCCATTCGGAGCCAGGGGGAGACCTGGCGGTGTCTAAAGCACAGCGTATCAGGTTCAGCTTCCATGTCTCCCTCTTTGCTGCCTGTGTAAGCTAATTAAAATGGCTTTCCAGGAAAGGATGCGTGTGATGTCGTGAGGGGGCGTGAAAGCGTCACGGGCTGGGACCCTGCACGCGGGCAGGATGGCGAGCTCCGTGGGCACCGAGGCAGGGTGGGGTAGCCCCTGGCAATGGTGGAGCGAGGGTATGACCTGCACTGGGATCCTTGCCCCTGTCGAGGCACCCCTGTGCCCCCTTGAGGGGCTGCGTGCTCTCGGGTCAGGCAGGAAGCGGGTCTGCAGGTGGGGCCTTGGGTGGGGGGGCAAGGACGGTAGGGCAGCCTTGCTGCAGACTTGTGGCCCCTCGGTGGGCGTCCAGGGTTGGAGGACAGCGATCTTTCAGGAACACTTGAAGCTGCTGCAGTTGAGGGGCGGGGCTGGCCATCCCCATTTTAATACCTCAGGCAAGATGGCACAGTTTTGGTGTCAGTCTGTGCTGGTCAGAGAGGAAAGAGATGGAAGTTTTGCTGCCTTCTCTGACCAAACCCCTTTCCCATTGAGATCCAGTACTTGATGGTGAAAACGTCATCTGAGCTTCCATGTGGATCACCGTCACGACAGGCGGAGGGCCTCTCTGCCCTTCAAGGCCTGCCTGGATTCCAGGCTCCAGAAGTTGGGGCGTGTGGCTTTGGCTGGGGCTGGGGGCTGGGGCAGGGCACGTTCCGGTCCCTGGACAGGCATTTGCCCCCCTGTCCCCGAATGACGAGACTCAAGCGTTGACCCCAGGCACTGGGAGCAGAGTCCTCTGAGAACATGAGTGAGGGTCTTGTGCTCTGCCGGCCTCGCTGCCCTGGGAGGAAGAAAGGGTCCGACAGAGCCCCTGCCGGGGAGGAGAGTGGGGCTGCAGCAGAGTGAGATGGGGCCCAGTGGGGGCGGGAGGTGTTCTGTCCCCAGCTCCACCCCCCCCCACCCCCCCCGCCGGGGCCAGTGTCTCGCAGCCCTCAGGGGCCTGAGCACAAGAGCTAAGCAGAGACCTGTTCTCTTAGTACAGGCTGTAACCAGTCTCCCCAGTATTTTTATTTTTTTTAAGATTTTATTTATTTGACAGAGAGAGACAGAGAGGGAACACAAGCAGGGGGAGTGGGAGAGGGAGAAGCAGGCTTCCTGCTGAGCAGGGAGCCTGATGCGGGCCTCGATGCCAGGATCCTGGGATCATGACCTGAGGCTTAACGACTGAGCCACCCAGGGCCCCCCCCCCCCATATTTTAGAAACTTGGTTGCCAACGATTTTAAATCGAGAGATACTGCATTAAAACCTAGACGCCCAGCTTCTCTTGAAAGAGACAACACTTGTAACCCTGGGTGCTCATTTCCACAGGGCGGGGCTGGGCTGGGGTCTGGACTGTGGCTCTCGGTTCAGCCCAGTCCTCCTCACCCCCAGTACGCCCCACGCTCTCGCCTTTCCCGGGGCCTTGTACCATTCTCTGCCCCATAGCATTGAGGTATTAATGGAGTATTTCTTTAGCCATGGCTGTATCAACAGTGGAGACAGGACAGGCCGGGGGCTGCTGCAGCCAAGCGGAGGGTCCCGAGTACCAGTGGAGGGGTGCGGGCTGTCCCAGGCTCCGCGTCCAGCACCATACTTGCGTGCCAGTAGGCGAAGGACCCAAGGGGGCCGGGCCTCGAGTGCTCCCTGCTGCGGGTCGAGTGGAGGTGCCTCCCCCTCCCAAGAGGTCAGCCCATTGCCGGGGGCCCAGACCGCTGAGAGCCCAGTGCCAACGCACTGGGGCAGACTTGAAACCGAACCCCACGGCCTTTGGACTGGAGCCACCTACCTGAGCCAGCAGCCAGAGGTCCCGGCGGACTTGGGTGCCAGTCTCTCTGCTGGGGCGGGGGACGGCGAGTGGAAGCCCGCGGCTCTGATGGGAGCAGCCGCGGCCCTGGAGGGCAGGCCGCCCAGCCCCTGCCGAAGGGGACATGTCTTCCTCTCGTGTCGGGGGCTGGCACGAAAGCCACTCACTTCAAAAGCAGCAAGTTGGAGGCGAGCCCACAGCCTTGCTGGCCCACAAAGGCTGCTGGGCAAATGCCAACCATCGGTCAATCAGGGGGAGACCACCAGCAAGAGAGGGCCTTTGTAAGGACAGGGAGAAAGGCAGCGGGAGACACTGCAGAAGGATGGGGGTGAGGGGGCGAGGGGCGCAGGGCAGGGGAAAGACGGACGATCAAGCCAGGCTGAGCCTCAGGCCCCTTCACTTCTTGGTTGCATTTGGCAAAAGCAACCCCCTTCTCCAGGGCCGCAACCGCAGGTCCCCTCGCGCCAGCACGACCCACTCCGTTTCTCTACAAGATGCGCCCACTTTTTATTCAGCTGTTTTCACACAATTTCCCCTCCACCTTGCGTATCATGTGGCATTTTCTGACTCCACTGCCCCAATTCTCCAACAGCTCCCGGCCCAACAATTCAACTCACTTCTGACATAACTACCTGGAAGTAGCATCAGACCGCACAGGTTAAAGGGCTCAGTTCCATGAGCCTGCCCCACCTCAGATGCCGGCCACAAATGGGGTGCCCAGGCTGCCCACATTTCTGCCCGGCCAACCACAAATTCAGGGGTTTCCACGACACCCCCTCAGGTTCAGTACTTGGCTAGAAGGGCTCACAGAACTCAGAACAACTTTACTCACGTTTACGGATTATAAAGGATACAACTCTGCGAACAGTAAAATGGAAGAGATGCATAGGGCAAGGCGTGGGGGAGGGAGGTGCGGTGCCCCCAAGCCTTCTCTGGGAGCATCACCCTCCCAGCACCTTGAGGTGTTCACCCAGAAGCTTTGTGAGATCTCTGAATCCAGTTTGTGTTGTGTAAGGATGGCTCCCCAGGATCCCCTCCCCTCCCCGGGGGTCAGTGGGAGGGGCTGGAAGTCCCACCCTCCAATCACTTGCTCTTTCTGCTGACCGGCCCATTCCCGGAACTTTCCAGTGGCCCTACCTTGTCACCGCATTAGCATAAACTCACCTGGAATCAAAAGGGAATCATTGTGAACAACAAAAGATCTCCCATCAGGAAATTCCCAGGCTGTTAGGGCAACTGGGGACAAAACTCAAGTATTTATCCTATCACTTCCTTCAGCGTTCTAATTACCAAAACTCTTCTCCACAGTCAACCATCAACTCGACAAAACGACCACCAATTTTGCCACTCAGAACAACCTGCTTGTTCGGTGCAACTCTCTGGTGTGTGAGCTCCCGGAGGCAGGGCGGTGTTCTGGCCAGCCCTGTGGACTCCAGGAGTGTCAGGCCAGGGGGCAGCAGCACGGGGGGCGGGGGGCACTGGCCTAGGGTGGCGGGACACGGTCCAAGAGCTGAGTGATGCCTGTCCGGCTTGGGCGCCCTCACACCCCCCCTCTGGGCCAGGGAAGCATCAAAACATGTCCCAGACAACACGGATTCTTGCCTCCAAGATGGCCCCATGCTCAAGGCACTGCTCTGGGCTCCCACTACCCAATGGCTGGCAGTGTTAAGAGGTGTGGAAAGAGCTTGGCAAGAACAGCTCTCAACAGCTCCTCTGGGGATGGAAATTACATGTGGAGATAAAGTTGCATTCACATCAGACTCTGATTAGGTTCCCAAACCAAATGTCCACCTTTAGAGCCTAAGGCATCCCCAGAAGTATGTGGAAAACAGGCAAGATCCCCCCCGACGAATGTCCCACGTCACTTGCGCTGCTTAACTGGGGCCAGTGCCCCCGGGCAGCACCTGGAGTGGGTAGGTCATACCTCTTGCAGGTGAAGTAGAAACAGGACTGCAGGTGTTCCCCAAGCTCTCCACGTAAGTCCAGGCCAACCAAGAGTCCCTAGACTCCAGCACAGTCCCAGGCCAGGAGTGGGACGTGGGGGAGCTCAAGGACAGAATGTCAGGAGACTGATTAGTAACCACATATGGCTGTTTATTTTATACAGGGTTCTGTACAAAATATTTACATATATTCTTTACAGAATAGTAAACCACCTGAAGGTAAAAGGATAATGCCTTCTTCTCATTGGCAGGGAGAATCCCGATGTCAGCAAAGCTACAAACCAAATGAACCCCCTCCTCAGGCTACAACAGAAGCCTGTCCACTTGCTTTCTGGGCTCCAAAGCCTGTGGCCCTGGGACCCTGATCCTGTGCCCCTCCGTCTCTCTTGCCCATCACTTCCTTCACTATTTACAGACAGGCCCTAGCGCTGCGGTGGGGAGCTGTGCATCTGTAAAGGCGGCAAGGGACAAGCTTGCCCGGGGAGAAGCCTGGGACTGGGTCCTGGAAGAATTTCCTTTGTCTTCATGCCTCCATCACTGTCTAGATTAATCCATCCCCATTACACTTACCCCAAGTGGGACTCCTGCTACAGAGAATGACCCATCGCTTGAACCTTTTGTTTTTAAAGTGCTTAGTGTCACTTCACGTGACTCGGCGTAGACACCCCTCACTGCCCTGGGCCTGCCGGCCGCCTGGCGTACTAAGTGCCCCCCACTCTGCGGTCTCGGTATGCTAAGGGACAGGACTTCTGGCACGTTCACTTTAAGAAAACAACTGCCAAGAGAACAGTGCCCGAGAGACAGGAAAATGAAAGTACATGGCTGCTTCATACTCTACACTTCAATTCTTTAAAGCAGCAAAAGGCACTTTTTTTTCAAGCCAGAGTTAATCTCAAACAAACTTGGTTTTGCTTACAGGAAAAGAAGTCCAGAAGGACTGAATGATCCGTCTTGTCCCCGAAGGCCTGGAGAGTCCTCCAGAAGCTTGGGGCGGGAGCTGGCTGTTCTCAGCTTCTCCCATACTCTTCAGGCTGGTGTGTCCCTTCTGGTTGCTGACAAGTCTCCAGTGACATTTCCAACCAGGAGGGAAAGACCAACAGCTGAGGAGATAAACTGAATCCCCCCAACGAAGCCAAGGTAGGAGTGAGTGGGTGCCTACTTGGGAGGAGAAGAGTGGTCTGAGGAGAAGAGGAAGGCAGGAGAGCGGGCCCGTGGGCGCTCTGGAAGTGTGGGGCTGAAAACACACAGCAGCTCTAGCTCAAGTGAGACGTTCAACAATCGAGGAGAAAGGAAACTTCAGGGTCTTAGAAGCTCATCTTGCTGATGAGGACTGTTCTTCCCGTGAAGGAACTATCATTTTTAGAGTGAGGGTACTTTACATGTTGGGTATATGTAATTCTAAAAAGAGTAATAAAATGTCCTTTAAAAGCAACATCATGTGGCTTGTGGGAGAGAACAGGGAGGAGAAAGAAAGAAGGCAGGCAAAACCAGTTTACATCTGGGCCCTACAACCTCACATTCCTTCCTGTTTGACTGGAAACGCCCAAGTGATTCCTAGGCTGAAAATAGGATTTACCTAGTAACCTAGTTCACGTCTGTCTGATTTCTGACCAGCTAACGGAGCTGCTCTCGAGGGGCCGATCTTGCGCCCGGCTAGCAGCCTCTGTCCCTCGCCTCGGTTCCAAGGTCTAACGCCCACGGCAGCAGCTCGTTCCTCCTCGGGCCAGTGGCAGCAGACGGAACGGGAGGCGCCGCGAGGAGGGCCCGTGGTGGCCCAGCTTACTTGCTACGGGGCAGCTAAGAAGGTCCCCGGTAACCAGGCTCGGAGGGTTCCCAGGGCCGTGGGCAGCTCAAGAAACCCCTGGCGCGAGAGGCAGCAGCGGGGAGCGCGGGGCGACGGCGGCGGGGAGGGAGAGGAGGCCCGCGGGCCGGCTCGGCCTCCGAGCGCAGCTCTCAGGGGCCAGTGGGCTCTGAGGTGAAGGCAAACCACGGGCAGGCAGGGCGGGGGCTGGCAGGACTAGAAAACCCTCGACAGAAACCCTTTTAATAAAGGAAATTCCACCCCCTCCCAACCCTTCCATGGAAGGGTGAGACCTCAACGTCATGGAGGAGGCAGCGCCCTCCCCGGCATTTAGGGGAACAGCTGCAGCTGGAACTTGGGGGCCCACTCCAGGGCACTTTTCACCACAGCCAGGGCGGCCGCTCCAAGTGCCACCGTCAGCCCCATCACCGCCAGCTTCATGAAGCGGTTGGTCCTTGGTTTGGTCAGGACGTCTTTCGTTCGCTCCTCAGGTCGCAGGAGTCCCCGGAACCGCTGTCGCAGCACCGCGTCAGGTCTCTGCTGGGCTGATGCCAGCTCAAAGTCTTTGAAGGTAGAGGCGGCCGTCCTGCGGGGCGGGGGGCGGGGGGAGACAGAAGAAGGAAATGCTATGAAAGAAGAGACAGAAAAACGGGACTACCACAGAGGCTGAGGGCAGAGCCATCCACTGCTCACAAGGCTCTTCTACATAAAGACCTGTGAAGACCACGGCAGGGATTCCGCTGGCCTGAGCTTAGATCTCTGGAAACATCCTCCGGCCCGGTGCCGGCAGGCACAATCCTCCACCACTTCTGCTCACCCACAGACACCCCCAGCTCAACCAGAGCCTCCACCTCACTCACTTCTCGGCCTGCTGCTGGGCAGATGCCTCCCGAGCAAGTTCAGATGGGGGAAACTGAACAAACAGGTCTCCGGCTCTGCTGATCAGGGTCTCATAGGGCAGGTCCTGAGGGATCTGGGACAACAGGTGGTGGACCGAGGCCATGTCACAGTCACAATCCAGGACTTCCTGCTCTCGATACAACACGATCTGTGGGGGAGCAAGGCCTTGCATCAGACACCCGGACAAGCAGGGCCTTCGCCGCCCTTCATTCTCCTTAGAGATGAATTTTTTTTTTTTTTCAAAGATTTATTTATTTGAGAGAGCGAGAATGAGAGAGAGAGAGTACATGAGAGGGGGGAGGGTTAGAGGGAGAAGCAGGCCCCTTGCTGAGCAGGAAGCCCGATGCGGGACTCGATCCCGGGACTCCAGGATCATGACCTGAGCCGAAGGCAGTGGCCCAACCAACTGAGCCACCCAGGCGCCCCTCCTTAGAGATGAATTTAAATTGGTAACAGACAGCAGACTCTTGTATCCATCTAGGAAGGAATAACGTATGTATGCTTTTCCCAGGGGGCTGGCCCTTCCTGCTACAGGCAGACTTCCACCCCAGGATGCGGAAGGCAGACCAACGAAATGAAGGAGGTTCTTTTAGGAGGAAGAAAAGGAAAGGGCTCACAGGGAGACTCCTGGAGCTCCCACACAGAAAAAAATGGTTCAGAGCAGTAGAAAGAACCATCTTGCTCCCCTTTCAAGAGCAGTGAAGGCACCTCCACGGAACAGGAACCCCATCAAGCCCTGCCAGTGTCCCCCCTGTCATCATACCGCACCCCGTCCCTCCCCAGCCTGGAGCTGGCAGTCTGTACTAGTTCCGGGGGATGTCAAGAGGAACACGGACAATTCGTTATGCACATGAGCATTTTAAAGGTTCAGAAGAATCACGCAGGAAACAGATCTCTTTAACTTAGTTTAACCAAGCACTTCCCAATCCTATTTTTACACAGAGCCTTTTCTTTCCCTGTAACACTCCCATTCACACTGCACAGAGCGGTGACCAGGGGCACCAGTCTGGGAAATGCTCTTCCCATCTTTCCATAATCACCAGGTCTCCCTTGAGGGAAAACGATTGAGCTGGGATGGGTGATGGGGAACCTAGCTGCTGGCTTGTGGTCTGTACCTACCACGGCTGCAAAGTAAATGGGCATCAGCGGGTGGCAGGCCAGGAAGAAGTCGTATAACCGCACGACGTGCCTGAAGTCAGACAGGACATGCCCAAACCAGGTGATGAGCCAGCTGAGGGCAAAGATGGTTCCCACCTCGGCACTAGGAGCAAGGAAATCCAGACGTTAGGTTCCCTGACGGGCTGTCCCTCTCTGCTCCATGGGACATCTTTGTCCTTGGTGCTTTTAAGAAGAATTTGGGAAATACACTGTCTGGAAAATTCAGCCCCCTAGGAATTCAGCATCTTCTCACCGAATACAAAGTCCTTAAAACATACCCACCATCATGACACTAATACTACGATGGGGTCCTGGTTACCCTATCTCGCCGGCTGCCGTCCTAACGGCTAACCGATGTCAGTAACAGGAAGAAGAAGTAGCTCTTTTCAAGGAACAATACCATGGTTTTCTTTCTGAAAAAGTCATACACACTTTTGGCAGACACAGGCGCATATTCTCAGGCTTAAAGACACAACTGTATTAATTGTTCAGTTGACGTGAGACGATCGAAACATCTTAAGACATGGACATTAAAAAAAAAGGGGGGGGTGAGGCGTTGGCCAAGGACTCATTTCCAATTACACAGAAGAGAAAAAAAATTATGTAAGATTTGCAAAGAAATATTTCTTCTCCTTGGAACCTGGAGAATAAAACCACCCACGGATGGCCCTGTCCTTCTCGACTCAGGATCCTACCGCAGCATGTCCTTTTCTTGAAGCAATAACCTAAGTCCACCTCGGCATACTCACCTCCCCAGCCCTCCCCACCAGATGTAACCTCCTCAAGGGCATGCGCTGTACATCTCTCGTATCCCACAAGAGCACAGTACCCAAGAAAGTGCTCCCAGGCCGTACAGAACTGAATTATCCAGCTTGCTGGCGAACAGAAAGGACAACCTGGAAGAACTTACCGCCAGTCAACATACGATGGTGGTGAGATTGAGCCGGATTGTGAGGAAGAGACCAGGGCCAGGAGAAAGTCAAAGGGGTGCGGGTGCGCGTGTGCAAGTGTGTACATAAATGGAGACGCACACATACCTCTGCATGAAGTCATGGAGCTCTGGATTCACCTGGTCAATGATGGGCATCAGATAGTTTAATATATGCTTGGTGTTGTCCATCGTTGGATCCATGAAATCCCTGGACGGAGACAATTCAATGAGCTCGGTCAGACCAAATGCTCAGATCAGGGCCGAGTGGGTAGAACAGGGTTCCCGCCACTGGAAACAGACTAGCAAACGGGACAAGGAGTGGTGCCCAGGGGAGCTTGAGGAGCGATCCCACATCCTCTTGTATTCCTCTGCGCTGGTACCTGAGGTGGTGGGTAGACAATTTTTCTACCAGCGACGGCGTCAGCTTCTCGCCTACCACCAGCAGAAACGTGACCACGATGTCGTGGTAGCCCTGGTAGTAGTGCAGCTGAGGGTTGCGCTCCAAGATGAGGAGGATGATGTCGATCAGCTCTTCCTGAAGCCCCTCTCTCTGTTTCTCCGGCATGCCTAGGGAGGGAAGACGAGGGGAGATGCCCCTGAACACACTGAGGAGACTGCTAACGAGGAGGGGCAAAGACAGTCAGCAAAAGATTTGCCAAGTGTTTAATAAAAAGAATGAGTTATGAACAGTTTGGCAACACGTATTAAAATCCCCACACCACTGACGCTACTCGGAGCAGTCAGCCTTACGGCGGGGGGAGCCCGCCGACCCCTTCTCAGCCCAGTGGCCACAGCTGACATGGCCGGACCCCCCGCGCCTCTCCTGCGGTGGCCGGGACGTGCCCCGGGGTCACTGCCGGGGAGCACCTACATGCTCGGCAACCCACACCGAGGGGAATTTTATAAAAATAATGGAGTCATAAAACACAAAGGAACTACTCCAGGGTCAAGGAGGCTGATGAGGTAGGATGACTGAATGGGAACTGCTTTGCGTTCGTATTGCTTTTTTCCTCTAAAGGATGTTACTGCCGTTGAAGGGTGAGACCTGAATAAAATCTCCACGCTAGCAGCACTAGTTTTCAGGGTGCTGCTGATTTACTGAGTGCCGTGTGATTACGTAAGAGCCTTGGTTTTCGGAACCACACCCTGAAATATTTAGGGGTAAAGGGACACCACGTCTGTATTGATTCTTAAATAATTCAGAAAAAAAAGCATATGTGTGTGTGTAGGAGAGAGACAAAGAATACTAAAGCAAATATAGTAAAACATTAACATATAATATAGGAAATCTGCGTAAAAGGCATCTGGGGAATTATCTGTCCTATTTTTGCAACTTTTTCTATAGGTATGAGAAATTATATAAAAATAAAAAATTTAAGAGTTGCATGTTCTCCTCTAAACCAAACGAAGTATCACAGGAATATATCTTGATCCAAGATATATCTGGAAACCCCTTCTCAAAAAGGCTTATTCTAAAAGACCCAATAAAAAGAAAATGAAGTAACTACTATGGTTAGGGAAAGTAATCAAAGTGGTGAGAGAACAAGACGAAACTCTGTTTGAATTTTCAGAGTAAGAGAGGTTAGCTGAGCTCAAAAGAACACGGATGTAAGCAGAATATGAAACCACACGGAAAGTGCAGCCCACACAAAGAACCTCACAGACCGACATTCCATAAACGGCAGAGGCAGAAAGGGGTCAGAGGAAAAGCAGGTTACCTAGGGGGAAACGAGGGCACCTGCCTGCGTGCTCTCATCCAAACCGGCAGGACAGGGAAAGGGGACTGGGCCATGGGCAGACGTTTTTATCAAAAGCAAGGGGGCAGGCTACCGGCTACACAGGAATCACGAGCAGGGGAGCAAGCAAGATTTAAGAGGCAAAATCCAAGCCAGAGCATGGTTTCAGAAGAGTGAGGCAACGGGTTTAGAGGCTCTTGTCCTCTTTAGCAATTCTCCTGTCTTTGTGGACCTAAACAAAGGCGAGGCTGCCAAAGGAAGAGAAATGGATCATAAACACGAGGTTTGTTGCCCAGCTTCCTTCACTGTGAACAGGGAGACAACAGTTGGTCATTCTTCTCATGCTTCCTGGAATGGGAAGCGATTTCCAAACAGACCCTTTAAAACATGCAGGGAATGGCCTCCTTCCCTTCCAGTCCAGGGACCCAAAGGAGGCATAGGTAAGATCCCTATTTATACATCTAATCAAATGAAGATATGAATACTTCTTCTTAGTGCCCCCTTGTAAACCTATCTGCTCTTTAAAGCCAGACGATGGCTCGAACGGTCCCTAGGAAGTCGCTCTGGTGGCCATGAAGCGGGGAAAGCCTCTAGGTTTTTCATTCAGCACCTCTAGGCCAAGAGAAATTACTCTGGGCTCAGGCTTTCACAGTGGGGGTGTGAACGTGACTGAGCGTACAAAGGGCCCCTGATGAGGCAGGGGCCCCTTCGAGGTCACGCCGTGGGCCGGGCTGGAAGCAGCAGGGCCGGGAACTCCCAGGTGGCGGGACCCGGAGAGCTTCTCACCAGGCGGGAACCGCCGCAAAGACCGCCTGACGTCCAGCAGCACTTGCTGGTAGTCCTTGCTTCCCTGCCGTAGGTTCTTCCCTGTGGGAGGAAAAGGAACATGTTACTGCAGGAATGTCTGGGAAGCCAGATCGGGGGCAAAAACGTTCTGGTATGACATCAGAGGCCCGGAGGACATCCTTCAGGTTTCTCCTGAAGAGGACATGACACAAGACACAACATTTGGAGAAGAATCCCCAGTTTAGTTCCAAACGTGCTGTTTCATTCGAGTCACTGTGACCGTAAGAGGAGGGACACGCAGTGTTCAGGGTGAGGCAGAAGGAGCAGCAGAGAAGTCAGGAAGCCAGGGACCTACTGGAAGCTGCTCCTGCATGTCACTGGGGGACTGCTCTGAATTTCAACGTGCACATCGGTAAAATGGGGTTATCTCCTTCCATACGTTACTACGCTGATCAAATAAGATCATGAATGTGGAAAGCACAGATCACTGGAAAACCCGGACATCTCTGCAGCCTCGGGAGCACTGAGCTGTTCAGGAAGGAGCATTAAGATAAACTCACACAAAGAAGAACCTAACCTCTCTTGACCCTGAAATTTAAAACCTAAGACACTGCAAATAGGAGCCTGTGTTCAGCTAAGTCCAACACAGTGTGAAAGTAAGGAGGCAGTCTCCAGCTGTTGTAAATGGAACAAGCACCCATCTCCCTCAACCCCAGCCAAGGCAATATAACAAGTGCGCATTTCCATCCCAACCCCAATCTGAAGCTACCAGAGGAGCACGTGTAACACTTCCCTACACACAGACTTCATCTTGTAAAGATCTGGGACGTCTGGAATCTGACAGAAGAGTATCATCTCAGGGTTTAGAGCGTGAATGTGGCGACGTCTTTTCCTTCCAACCGAAAGCTGACTGCTCCGAGGCAGCCGGTTTCAAAGATAGTAACAAGCGGCAACTTACCACCTACTCGACTGCACCTCGGCGCCGTGGGCTTTTTAGCAGCAGAGGCCGCGTGACCTGCCTCTAGCACCTGGCACAGGACAGGAGCACAACTAATACCTGCCACACGAGTGAAAGGATCTCGAGCACCTGGACTTTGGCCATACATAGCAGAAGAGCGATCGATGTTTGTTGAGTGAATGAATGACCAAGTGGATTCATTGTTCTGCAGTACTTTTTTGTATTTTGTACTATATTCCAAGGAACTGCTTTTACTTCATGGGGCTTGCAAATTAGTAAAGTAACAGCTTTTCTTTTCAAGATTTATGTATTTATTTTAGAGAGAAAGAGAGAGAACACGCAAGTGTACGCGTGTGGAGGAGGGGCAGAGAGTGAGGGAGAGAGAATCTCAAGCAGACTCTCCACTGAGCGCAGAGCCCCACGTGGGGCTCAATCCCACGACCGCGAGATCAAGACCCGAGCTGAAATCAAGAGTCGAACACCCAACCGACCGAGCCACCCAGGTGCCACAGTAACAGCTTTTCATACTGTTGCAGAACTTTAGAATTCAAAACGATCTTAGTATTTCCCAATAAAAAAGTTTTGTTTTGTTTTGCTTAAGGACCAGAGAGGTATTCTCTCTCCCCATGGCCTAGTGTTTCTCAAAATGAGTTCATCTGCACCAAATTGAGTTCATTTGCCTGTTAAAATACAGATTCCTGTAACCCACCTCTAAGTGAATATAGGAACTAGAATAATAAACTCCCCTACCTAGTCAATAAAAGCTACCTATCAATCTAATAAAAGCTCATTTCATTTTTTTTTTTAAAGATTTTATTTATTTATTTGAGAGAGAGAATGAGATAGAGAGAGCATGAGAGGGGGGAGGGTCACAGGGAGAAGCAGACTCCCTGCTGAGCAGGGAGCCCGATGCGGGACTCGATCCCGGGACTCCAGGATCATGACCTGAGCCGAAGGCAGTTGCTTAACCAACTGAGCCACCCAGGCGCCCTCATTTCATTTTTTGAAGAAAATTCTACTTATCAGTTTCAGAGGGTGCCCAAACATGTCCTAAAATGCTTTAGATTTGCTCATCTACTATTGGCTTAAAATGAGCATAAAAATCAAAGATCCTGGAATTCTTTCTTTTTTAAGATTTTATTTATTCATTTGAGAGAGAGTGAGAGAGAGCAAGAGAGCATAAGCAGGGGAAGTGGCAGAGGGAGAGGGAGAGGCAGACTCCCCACTGAGCAGGGAGCCCGAGGCGGGGCTTGATCTTAGGACCCCGAGACCACGATTTGAGCCGAAAGCAGACGCCCAACCAACTGAGCCACCCAGGCGCCACCTGGAATTCTTCTATCCTTGCGTCCTAGACAAATTTCCCTCACAACCACACCCCACCATTACCTGATATAGGAGGTGGGTCACTGGTGTTGACATTGAGGAGCTTGGGCCACACTTTCTGCCTGATCTCATCAGTCAGGAGCCCTCCTTCACTGATAGCCATACGTCTAAGGGCAGCCACATCGGTGGGGTCACTGTTCAGAGCCTGGTGTATCTCTGACACTTTCTTTTTCCTTTTTGCGTTAAAGTCTGCAAAACAAAGGGGGAAAAGGCATCAGGCACATATTCAGCATGTGCTCATTTTCTGTGCAGGGCTCAATCTCCTTATTTGGTTTGAGGTACAAGTAGGTATTTTTAATGTTGACCTACAGATAAGTCATTAGTGCATCATGTGCAAAACACTAAGGAGATATACCATATAAGTAACAAGCAAGGAATTACAATTATAATAAACACTCAGTGAATTCAGGCATATCTAACACTATTAAAGTTTTGGAATAGAACAGAATGCTTGTTCTTTCTTAATAACTAACTTCACAGAACATATATATGTCTTTATATAATAATTTTTTCCTGTTGTTTATATACATGTCACCAAAATTTAATACTTTTAAAATAAGACCACATGAGAAAAAATTCTCCAGTTACATGCTAATACAGCTGGTAACATATCAGAATTACAGAGATATTTTTTCTTTCTTTTTTTTTTTTAAAGTAGGCTCCATGCCCAATGTGGGGCCTGGACTCATGACCTAGAGATCAAGAGTTGCATGCTCTATCAACTGAGCCAGCAAGGCACCCCTACATAGAGATATTTTCAAAAGTAGAATATCAAAGGGTGTACTTGGGTCCCCAGTGTGGCTGGTGGTAAGAGAGGCATGATCGTGCACACAGAGCAACTGTTTCTTGACCACCATGTTAATCGTGTGTGAGCAGAAAGTAATGTTTTAAGCATCTTACATCCTTATGTGATAGTTTGTGATTTATACACTGGCATTTTACTGTGTTTAAATTCCTTTTTAGAAAATTGGCTGACAGTCTGTGGTTGATGTGTATCTTATTGTAATTTTTCTATCGAAAATAATGCGGTAATATGCTTTCACAGTTCAATGCAGAATATCTAACTTTAGGAACAGCAAACACAATAAAAGTTAAACAAGGCAATACCAAAGAGATGTTACAAAACAGTGTAGTATAATTGCCCCCCAAAAATGGATGTGCAGACACCAAGAGCTCAAAGAGGCCGTGGTAGGTCAGGCTAACTTGAGAAGGCCTTACTGAAGAGTGCAATTTCTAAAGGAAGAGGGGATTTCAAGAGGCAAGGGGTGGGGCAGAGAGCAAAAGAAAGGCTTGGATCCAAGAAACACAAGGCCCTTTCATCTAACAGTAAACAGACTCATTTAAGAAATAGTTATGTAGCATATACAAGGTGCAAGACCCTACAGGTAAATGGAAGGTAACACTGGAAGGAAGGGTAAGCTTTAGAAGGGTCCCTAAGCAGCCTTCCTCAATAACACCCTATTTTGAGACAACAGTCTACAAATTGTTTCCGTGACAAAGATGCACATTATTAACACCACGGAAGTTGGTCCTAATGATCCTGGTTACCTGTGACAACTGTGACATACAAACCATACAAACAGAGGCATCACTGGCTTGGAGTCACATGCACCTGGAGGTGCAGACAGGAATACAACACAGGGGACTCTTCACCCAGGTAAACCTGTTCTCCTGGTTAGACTGTTATTTTCCCTGGTAACCTAGTAGGGTGACCATCTGTTCCAGTTTGTCGGAGAGATTCCTGGTTTACGTCTATAGTCCCGGCATAATTACTCATAGTAAACCCCTCCTGCTACCTGCACTCTCAGAAATGTCCCACCTTGGATGCTAAATTAAATGGTAACTCTACCTAGAGATCATGAAAAATCAGGTCTCAATTCCCTCTGCTAGCATAGCACCTAACTAGTCTAACGTTTGTTTATAATGTGCTTAAAGTTCTTAAAGATTGATTGATTGATTGATTCAGAGCATGTGCATGGGCGGGGGGTCGGGGGGGAGAAAGAGAATCTCAAGCAGACTCCCCACTGAGCGTGGAGCCCGACCTGAGCCAAAATCAAGAGTCCACTGCTTAACTAAATGAGCCACCCAGGTGCTCCAAGATGCGTCAAGCTCTTGGCTTGAGTGTGTCCTTCCTTCCTTCCTTCCACCCACCCGCTCATTAGTCTATCCATTCATTTATCAATCCATCATTGAATGAGCTGCTACTCGTAGTAAGTACTACACTGGGGACAGAAAGATGAATATGACACCTCAGCCTTTGAGAGAGTCACATTAGCGAGGGACACATTATTATATAACAGAATCATGAAAAATCATGAAAATCCAGAGGGAAGAATGACTACTTCTGGGGCAATCAAGAAAGGCTTCAATGAAAATATATTCTGCCACCTTTTTTTAGTTAAAAAAAATTTTTTTAAGGTTTCATTTATTTGAGAGAGAGAGAGGCAGAGGGGGAGGGAGAGGGAGAAGCAGGCTCCCTGCTGAGCAGGGAGTCTGACGCGGGGCTCCGTCCCAGGACCCTGGGATCATGACCTGATCTGAAGGCAGACGCTTAACCGACTGCGCTACCCAGGCGCCCCTATTCTGCCCCTATTCTTCTTAAAGCAAACTTCCACATGGAAGACTGTTGAAGGAAGCATTCCAGGCAGAGGAAAGAGTGTGTGGAAAGCCTTGTCACATGAAAGAAATAACGCGTCCAGAAAACAGAAAAATTCTGTGAGGCTGAAGTGTTAGGGAAAGAGAGAAAACAGAACCTGGATGGATGCAGGAACTGTGGGCAGTAAGAATTTTGGTTTTATCCTGCACTCAAGAAGAAGACAAGGTGGGGCTCCTGGCTGGCTCAATCAGTGGAACCTGTGATTCCTGACCTCGGGGTTGTGGGTTCGAGCCCCACACTGGGTGTAGAGATGACTTAAAAATAAAATATTTTAAAAAAAGAAAAAGAGGAAGTCAAGGAAGGAATTTTATTTATTTATTTTATTTTTTTTAAGATTTTATTTATTTATTTGAGAGAGAGAGAATGAGAGACAGAGAGCATGAGAGGGAGGAGGGTCAGAGGGAGAAGCAGACTCCCTGCTGAGCAGGGAGCCCGATGCGGGACTCGATCCTGGGACTCCAGGATCATGACCTGAGCCGAAGGCAGTCGCTTAACCAACTGAGCCACCCAGGCGCCCCAAGGAAGGAATTTTAAGCTCGATCACGGGCTCCTGGGTGGCTCAGTCAGTTAAGCATCTGCCTTTGGCTCAGGTCATGATCCTGGAGTCCTGGGACCGACCCCCATGTTGGGCTCCCTGCTCAACGGGGAGTCTGCTTATCCCTCTCCCTCTGCCCCTCACCCCACTCATGTGCACGCTCTCCCGCTTTCTCTCTCTCAAATAAATAAAATTAAAAAAAAAATAAACTTTGGATCAAAGGCCCATCCTTTGGAAGAGAAGGCTGTATGTGTTCAGAGAGGGACTGCAGACATGTAGAAGAAAACACTTTTTATGTAACAACATAGGCTGAGACAAAATATGGCAGGAACTGGATTAATTTCCAGCAAAGAAAGAAAAAGCAAAGTATTTTATTTATATATTTTTTTATTCTTAAATTTTGGGGTGTCTAGGTGGCTTAGTTGGTTAAGCGTCTACCTTCGGCTCAGGTCATGATCCCAGGGTCCTGGGATCGAGCCCCGCATTGGACTCTCTGCTCAGTGCGGAGCCTGCTTCTCCCTCTCCCTCTGCTGCTCCCCCTGCTTGTGCTCTCTGTCAAATAAATAAATAAAAATTTTAAAAATAAATAAATAAATAAATTCAGAGTGTCCTTGTACTTTCTACACATCAAAAATTAAGAACACTTAGAATGATAATACTGAATATTGCTTGAGGTAAGCTGACATTTAGAAATCTTATTAACCTACTTGCTAAGAGTGTGGAAATATTTCCTCGAATTGTTTAGACATATATCCACCCCACCCCTCTTCCCAAGTAAGCTATTCGGCAATCTGGGGGAAAGGAAAACTGTTGCTAGTATCTTGCGGGAAATAACACTGTTTGCAATCAGCTGGATTTCCATTATGCTTTGGCAGATAATCTGCCAGAATTTTAACTAATTCTGAACTCAAACCACAGCTCCCATACTTATTTCTCCTAACACTATGCTCCTATTCTGTTTTTAATCGTGCATTTCAAAATTTACTACTATCTTCTCGTTTTTGGCACTTTGTGGGAACTCAACAAATATGTGCAGAGTAAGAGAAATAATTTAGCTTAGCCACTGTTCCTGGAAAAAGTGGCCTACAGTAAATGACATTATTTTCCCCCACACTACTGTTAGGGACAGGCTCACTGCAAAACTCTAAATAGATGTGTAGACTCTGTGGCCTCTTTCTAAAGCTACTGGTACTTCCCAAAGCAGGATACTGCTCAAATGTGGACTTGAGCTGCTGTCTGTTTAGGCTCCGCTATCAACCCCACGATCTGGTGACTGAATGGTACTGGCAGATGAGGAAGGCACGCCTATGTGTGCCATTCCCCGCTTCAACAAAAATTTATTGCCCCTAATATATAGGCTCTCACTGTGATGGAAAAAAGGAGGAGAAAACAGAAAACTCCAGTGCACCAGAGATGTACAAATTATAGAGTGGTAAGGACAACAGTAGGCCTATACAACAAGGAAGAAAAGGTTAGCAGAGTCCCAGCTGAACAACTAGTTTCATCTCAGAAAGAGAAAAATCATAGACCTATTCTTGGGATGCTCAGGAAAACAGTAAAATTAACGTCCACTCAGCCTAAATCAAAACAATGGAAGACCCAGCCAGAGGGGAGACAGATTCCCCCAAACAGACACTTCCTGTCCCATCCCTTGAACTTCTAATGCTGACACTGGAAATTAACTTAAAATTTTATGTTTAAACTTCATACCTGTACCAGATAAAGACAGTGGGAGAGGAAAACCTTACCACACTCAAGTAAGGTTCCTACTAAAAACAAAATAAAACAAAGTAACCTCTGTTTCTGGAAGTCCGAATTAGTTTCAACAAACAGTATCCAAATTAGCAGAGATCCATTAACTACCTGAAACATGAAGACAAGCATGTATTAAGAAAAACTGCTTGGGGCGCCTGGGTGGCTCAGTCAGTTAAGCATCCGACTCTTGGTATCAGTTCAGGTCTTGATCTCAGGGTGGTGAGTTCGAGGCCCCTGTTGGGCTCCGTGGAGCCTACTTAAAACAAAACAAAACAAAACAACTGCTTTACCCCAACAATAAAGAAAAATATTCTCGAGAGTAAACCAATCTGATAATAAAGTCTACAAAGGAGGGATTCCAGTATTAGTAACTTTGCCAACAATTCTCCAATATGATTAAAAGCAGAACAAAAACTCTCATCTCTAAATTCCTTCCAGAGAAGCAAAACCAAGGAAACTGGGTTAAAGTCTCCCAACCTAGGCACAGCCACACTACAACAGGTCACAAAACCATACTGCTTGGGGCACTATGCCGTGAGGACAGATGTCATACAAACACACTAGCAAAGGGTTATAAGGCCGAAGTGCCCAAAGAAGTAATATGAGGAGCGAACAGGAGGAAAGGAAGATAACAGAAAATCAGCGCAGAGAAACAAGATGTGGACACCAGGTGCTTCACCAAAAATGTGGGTTGCATATGTGGCTGGCTCTATTATGGGCAGCACCCATCAGGGGACGGACAAATGGGAAAGCTACCTTAATCTGAGGGGGAAAGGATTATTTTCCTTGGTACAGAGTAAACATTAATAATTCTAAGTGCCATGTTTTAATTGTATGTAGAACATTCAAAAACACTGCACAATGAAACGATGATTTCATAGAAATTACTGCTTAGTATGCAACTATAAAAATTTGGGAGAATCGCTTTCTACTACACAGTTAAGTAACGTTAAATTAGGTGGCACAGGATCGAGACAAAAAGTAGATTAGTGGTTGCCAGGAGCTGCGGAGACTGGAGAATGGGGAGTAATGGGGAGTGATGGGGGGTTTCCTTTTGGAATTAGAAATGTTCTGGAATCAGACAGTGGCTATGATTGCACAACACTGTAAATGTGCTAAGAACCAGTGAACTGTACATTTTAAAAGGCTGGATTTTTACGGCAATTAAAAGAAAGAAGTGGAGCACGTACACCGCGTCAATTAAGCCGGCGAGAGATGAAGTTTGGGAAACGGGCCTTACAACTAGGGAGGAGGCACCAGGAGTGTGCGGACGTGGCCAGACAGCCTCGGGCCGAGGGTGGAGGCTCGGCCTCAGTTCTCCGGGAGACCCAGTTCTCCCCAGACGTGACGAAGCCGGACCAGATCCCCCGCCAGCCCTTTGCACCGGGGACGCGAGTCCGCCAGCAGAGTTCCTCTGGTCTCAGCATTCGCTGACTCCCCAACTCCAGGATCGCTTCCCTTTCAGACGTGACCGGGCCCACCACCCTTCTCCTCTCCCGCCGTCCCGACCTCAGCCCGCGGCGCTGGGCACACCCCGCGCGGTCCCTCGGGGGCCCCCCAGCCCGCGGCCCCCCCACCCGCCGGACGCCGCCTGCGCCCGGGGCCGCTCTTCCGACAGCTGTCCTCTGCCTACCCCCCGCAGAGCCGCCCCTGCCCCTCGGGCCGTCCCCGAAGGTCGTTCCTCGGCGCCCCCGCCGGCTTCCGTACCTGTCTTCTCCGCGCCACCGTCCCAGCGGCTGGAGGTGGGGCCGTCGCCCTGCGCACTCCGGAGGGCCATGTCCCGGGGGCCCGGGCCCGGGCCCGAGCCCCGGCTGGTGGCACAGCTGAAAGAAGACGCGGCTATGGCCGCGGGACCCACAGCCGGCTCTGCCGGACAGGGTAGAATCGGTCGGCCCGCGGCGCGCAGGCGCGCAGGCGTCCCGCGCGGGCCCCCGCCCCCGCGCCGGCACGTGACCGGCCGCTAGGCCAGGCGGAAGGCGGTCGCGGGGACACACGCGCAGGCGCTCTAAGAGGCCAGAGGAGGAGCGCGGGCAGCGCGCCAGGGAGCTCTGTGTGAACTATAGAGCCTGGCGGGCACGCTTGAGTTAAGTGTGTTCAGGACCAGATTTTGACATTTCTTTTGCTTTTCTTATCTGTAAAATGATACTGATGATGATAAAAGTACTGAACTCACGGAATTATTGGGAAAGTGCCTAGAACATTTAGAAGCATATAGTAACTGCTCCACAATTAGGAACTATTATTTTTGTTTACCAAGAGTTTTACCACCATCTCAACTCCTCACACGAGCTCCTGTCGTCATACTTGGCGACTTCAGGGTTCAGTAGAACCATTGCATACAGCTCCGCAGGTTGTGCACTGCTCAAGGCCAGAAAATGCCTTTCACATAGACCGTTATGTGAGCCGTACCCCTTCGAGTGGTACAAAACTGGCCACTCACCCAAAATGAGCACCTATCTTATCAGGTCTTTGAACGTAGAAAAGCCTAGAAGCTGAGATTCATAATGGAGTGTGGGGCACAGGGACACAGCTCCATTCTTGCCTGCGGTACTGATGAGACAGTGACCTGCTCTCCTCCCCATCACAACTCTAGGTCCTTGCAAGGTTTGGGCCAACTCTCACCCTCTGTAAAACAAGGGAGCGGCTAGCTCTCCAGGAAAAGGGAGAGGGAAAAGCTACTGTGAAATGCTCAGCAACTGGAACAAGCTGTCCCAGTGGAGATAACAAGTTCTTGTCCTAGGTTGGTACCCCATCTCTGAACAGCATATTGTCTAATTACAGTTCATCACCATGAAGCTCTAAGGACAGCATGACCAGGAATGCCAGTCATTTCGCCTCATAATTCTCCATGCACTCTCTCTTTTAAAGGAGTACTAGGTGGCAGATGGGAATTTTAAGAAAGCCTTCCCAGGCCAACAGAAACTAGCCTATCATTCGAACGTTGTGATGGACAATACCCATTGCCCTGTGGCCCGGGCTTGGAACCTATAGGTGAGCTAGGGCCTGCTAGGCTGGCTTGCCAGGGGGCCCAGGACACCAGGAAGTATGAATATCTTGAAGACCCCGAATCACAAAATAGAGATTATTTAACCCTTTTGTTTGTTCAACTATTCATGGTCCATACCCAGAGCAGGCCAGTGCTGGAACCCAACATAATGATCCTCTCCAGGACAGCTCAGGTTGGTAGGGGAGATGGATTCAACTTACAAGAGGTGACAAATTCTAGGAAAGGGGGAAGAAGAAGGGGGGGCATCAACCACACACAGAGAAGCAGGAGAGGGTGATGAAGAAAAAAGTCCTGGGGTAGTGATTTATTTTTAAAATTTTTTTCTGGGGTAGTGATTTCTAAGTTAATAGAAATGATGGGTAGCAGCATTAAGTCAGTTGATGTAGGGAAGAGCCTTCTAGGCTAAGGAAACAGCACAGGCACTGTTGTGAAACTAAAAAAGCAAACCGTAGTCTAGAAATGAAGTGATTTAGTGTTCTTACAGCACAGACAGTAATGAAAAAGTGGGACTTTGACAGTAGTGAGGGCAGAGAAGTGTGCGTGGGGCAGGTCAGGTAGGACCTCTTAAAGCATACTCGTTTGCACAGTATGCAGTCAGCAGGGTGGAATTAAAGAATATTCACAATCAATGTGGTCTTTGAAGTCATCTAGATTAATCCTCATCCCCAACATAAGAATCAACTCCACTTATCCATACAACAGTTTGGAGCACCAGACCTGTGCCAGGTTGTGAGCTGGAGATGACGAATACTCATTCAGTTGTCAGCGTCTAATGGGGGAAGAGAGACAAGTAACCAGGCAATTGTAAAGCCAAGAGAAAAGAGGTCAATCTTGAAGTCTAGTAAAACATGGAAAATTCCAGAAACTGATTCATGACTGAGTGTAAGGCAAAAGGGCATCGGGTCTCTGTGGTAGGCAGAATTTTAAAATGGTCCCCAAGATTCCCACTCCATGGTGTACATGGCTGTATAATCCCTTCGTGTGTGGGCAGAACTTGTGAATATGATGGGATTTCGCTCTCGTTGTTATGTTACACGGCAAAGGTAAAGGGATTATGCAGACATAACGAATCTCCCTATCAGTTGACTTTGAAGTGACTAGAAGGAAAATTGGTCTGGGTGGACTTAAATCAGGGAAGTCCTTTAAAAGAAGGTGCAAGCCTTACCTGTAGGACAAATTCAAAGCAGCACATTCTCCTGTTCACCTTTAAACTTCCATGTTGTGGAGAGGGCTACACGACAGGGAATGTGGAGCAGCCTCCAGGTGTGGAGGGCTTCAGTCCTACACAAGGAACTGAATTTGGCCAACAGTAAGCTTGGAAGAGGACCCTGAGCCTCAGTTGAGATCAGAGTCTTGGCTGACAGCTTGATTTCAGACTGGTGAGACCCAGGGCAAAGGACCCAGCTAACCTACACTTCGATGTGTGAGCTGGGGCAAGATAAATTTGTGGTATTTTGTTACACAGCAGGTGACTGAAAATCACACACGCCCAAACAAGCTCAGGCAAAAAGCTTCATTGGCTCACATAACTGAAAAGTTCTTGCCCTTCTGCATCCTCTCCCCCTTCTCTCAGCTGCCCACCTCTTCCTGTTGACTGTTCACCCACAGGTCTTGGTTCATAACAAGGCTCTGTCAGTGCCAGGTCTCAAGTACTTTCTACATCTGACTCTGTGAAATACAGTTGAATTGTCTTTGTCCTGGCATTTCCAAGAAAAGCCTTGACATATCCCACTGGTTCTGTCACCTGCCTCAGCCTGAACCAATCATGTGGCCACTATGTGCTGATTGGTTTGGCATGAGTCTCATGCTCCACCATTGAGCCAGAGGCAGAACTCTGTACAAAACTTGGGCTGAGTGTGAGAAAGAGGTGGAGAGCCTAATTTTAGTGATTCCCCTAGGATTCCTAACGCATTTTAACCAGTTTGCCTTCAAAGAACATCCTGCTTCATGTACAGCATAAAGACCTTATAATAGTGGATTCCCATTTTCTCTTCTGTTCTTCACGCGGTTTGTCATACACTTTTTTTATTACACTTTTTTTTAAGGTTTTATTTGACAGAGAGAGAGCACAAGTAGGGGAGCGGCAGCAGAGGGAGAGGGAGAAGCAGGCTCCCCGCTGAGCAGGGAGCCCGATGCGGGGCTCGATCCCAGGACCCCGGGATCATGAACTGAGCCAAAGTCGGACACCCAACGACTGAGCCACCCAGGTGCCCCTATTACACTTTATTCTTAAATCCCTTCTCTTCCCCTTCTCCCACCCCCAATCCCCACCCTGCACTTGTAGAGAACAACTTAACTACATTCTGTCACCAGAGATTAGTTTGCATTTTCTAGAATTTTATATGGACGGACTCAAACAGTATGTAGGCTTTTTTGTCTGGCTTTCACTCAGCATAATTATTTTAAAGTTAATCCACGTTAATGCATGTACAAGTGTATTCCTTTTATTGCTCAGTATTTCATTGTACAGATATACCACCATTCCCTGTATACATATTTTTTATTTTTACATATGCTATAGTTACACAATCTAAAGGATGGCTCATGAGCCAAGAATGGCTTTAACAGTTTTAAATGATTGGGGGGGGGGGAAGGCCAAAAGAGTAACTTGTAGGACATAAAAATTATGTGAAATTCAAATCTTAAGAGTCTATAAAGCTTTATTGGAACACAGCCTTGCTGATACACCTATTGCCTACGACTGATTTCGTTCCACAGCAGTAGAGTGCTTACAAGAGATCATAGGACATGCAAAACTTAAAATTATTTACATGCTCCTTTACAGAAGATTTGCTGACCTCTGTAGACTTATTTTAAAGCAATTAAATTTTAAATTTTACTTCCATTTATTCCATTTCCAGCACTCTTAATTTTGTTGTAGACCCACATTTCTGTCTGGTTTCACATTCCTTCTGCCTAAAGAACTTCCTTTAATATTTCTAGTTGAAACAGAGGTCTTCTGGCAATGTATTCCCTCAGTTTTTCTTTTTCTTCTGAAGACTTTATTTCCCCTTCATTTTCAAAGATATTTTCACTGGGTGTGGGACTCTGGGTTGACAGGTTTTCTTCTTTCAGTGCTGGTCACTCCAGTCTTCTGACTTGCATCATTTGGTAATTTTTTGCTTCCTCTGTAGGTCGTCATTTTTTCTCTGGGCTGGTCTTTAAGATTCTGTTTCAGCATTTTTTTGTTGTTTTAGCATTTTTGATATGCCTAGTATGTGTATACATATATTTTGTTTGGTGTTCTTTGAGCGTCTTGGATCTACGGCTTACTGTCCTTAATTTTAGAAAATTCCCAACCTTTATTTCTTCAACTATTTCTTTGCTTGTGTGATTTCATTTGGCCTCTTGTGCTCCGACAACCCTGGGCAGCTGCTCCAACTTCAGCACGGGTCCCAGAAGGAACCACAGGGAACAAACTGGAGTCCAATCAACACAGGAGCCCAGCCCAGCCTCAACCTAAAGCAGAGCTGTTTGGCTGAATCCAGTTTAGACAGTTGAACTACAGTTACAGTTGACCTAGAGATTTGTGTGAGGCAGAAGTGTTTTTGGTGAAAGGCCCAGAGAGCCAAAGAGAGAAAGAAAAAATTTGTAATGACTGGCTAGAAACCTGGACAGAGAATCTTGGCAGCACAGCTATGCAAAGGCAGGAAGCAGAACTGAGCCAGGAGACATGGGTTCTGATCCCAGGTGCAGGCCCTGGTGGCTCAACCGTGCTAAGGCTGGGCCTCTTCCCTAACCAGCTCTAGCAGCCCTTCCTCTGGGAAGGCTTCCTTGACCCAATTCTCTCTGCCCCAAGAGCTTAGGATTCCTTCCCGCAAACTGAGTTTTTGTGACATTTTTTTTCTTTCAAGATTTTATTTATTTGAGAGAGAATGAGAGAGCAGAAGCAGGGGGAGCA